TGTGGGGTGGGTTGTGGGGTGGGGTGAGGTGTATGGGGTGTGAGGTGTGCTGTGTGTGTGTGTGTGTGTGGTAGGGGGACAAAAGGATTTGAAGTATGGGGTATGGAATGAAAGTGAAAGACGCCGCCTAATCGGGCGCGGTACGGGGTGTTCGGTGTGGTGCTGGTGCTGTGCCGAGGTGGAGGAACAGCACACACACACACGTACATACATACACATACATACACATGTAAGCCACATGGGAGGTGTCACGAAAAGGAGTGGGGAAGGCCGGCGCAGCATCCGCAGCTATTGTTGTTAAAGCTGGTGCGTAACAGCGCCCTTATATACCCTTAAAATACCCTTAAAAACCCCACCCTAAGTATTCCTGCCTTCCCCTTTCTCCCCACTTCTTCCCCCTTCTCCCTCCCTCTCCCTTCCTCTCCCTCCCCCCCTTTCCCCCCTTCCAGGTAAAACCCGGGTGGCTCACATTCAGCGGTCGTGTGGCTATGCGTTGAGACCCACCTTGTCTGTTGAGGAAATCGGCAGGGCGGTGCAGGTACGGAGTGGGGTAGGGTGGGGGTGAGATGGTCGTGTTTGTTGTTTGTGTGTTTGTTTGTCTCCAGATGTTCCGGCGGTGGTGTGTACGTGGGGCGGAGTAACGCCCTGCCGAACCTTTTTGGGAGCTGTGCTATTTGCTGGGAAGTATATCCGTAAGAGGAAGTGTGGGAAGGTGGCTTCTGCCACCTGCCATGGGTCATGTGCCTCCCCCCACCCCACCCTGGTACACTCTTGCCCTGGCAGCAGCTTCACTCGTTCGTGGTTCGTCTTCCCCCCCTTCCCCCTCCCCGCTCCCTTGGCTCATGACATACACCGCACACACACACACACACCTTGGCTCAGTGCGCAGTAGCACTCGCGTGACGGAGCCTTGGCTCGTGAGACTCGCGTGCACGCGCGTGCGACGCCTCTTTCCCCCTACCCCCACCCCCGGGGGGGGGAAGGAGGGGGGAGCTAGCGGACCTGCGGCTCTCGGCTGCTTAGGAGGGGGCAGGGGCCCCTCGCGCCTCTCTCACGTCCGACGGGGACAGATTGGGCGGTATTTCCGTTGGGGATGGGCAGCAGCCCCTGGCCATACTTGCAACACACACACACACACACACGCACACGCGCGCGCACGCAGGCACAGGTGCGCCTATCCGCCCCCTCGTGCCGCTCAATGTCGTACAAAACACACACGTACACACCCTCTCCCTCTCCCCCCGCTCCCCCCAGATCATCAAGTCCCAGGACCCCTCCGTGGTGGTGACTGTGGACAACTGCTACGGGGAGTTCACCGACACCCGGGAGCCATGTGACGTGGGGGCGGATCTGGCGATGGGCTCACTCATTAAGAACCCGGGTACGGATATGTACGGTCGGCATGTTTGTGTGTGTGTGTATGATGTTGTTACAGGGTGGTATAGCTTCACCAGCGGCCCCCTTTCCCTTGGAGGCAGTTCCCTGCTCTCCCCTGCTAGAGGGGCACCCTAATCCATCCACCCCACCCGACTTCAGAATGTATTCGTTGGGTTCAGCAACTCACCACCAGCATCCAACCAAATATATCGGATCAACGGCGCCACAACTTAGTTCCTGGTCAGCTCGCAAGTTGTTATAATCACGTCCTTTACCGTTCATAAGATGGGGGGCTACCTCCCAATTCAATACCCCTCACACACCCGAGAAGTCGGGAGGCGGATTTGAACCCGAAACCTCCGGGAGCAGAAGTCAGGCCTTAACTTCTGCCAGTCACCTACTGTATGTATGTATGCGTGTATGTGCGTGCCTGCGTGTGTGTATGTATGTATGTGTGCACGTCCCCCTTAACCGTCCATCCCTGCGATAACCCCAACTCCCCTGACCATGATATGCAAAAGAACACACACACACACACACACTCGCACATCAAAACACGCCACCCTCACACACACTCGCACAATCCACCCTCCTTGCCACACGTACGCGCACTTCCGTACAAGGTACACAATGGACACAAGCACTCGCGAATATGTGTCATTCTCGCCAGTTCCTGGCCGCGGATCAGATCTGTACATCACACACACACACACACACACACACACTCTCGCAGGTGGCACTATCGCCCCCGGTGGCGGCTACGTGGCAGGACGAGCAGACCTGATCGGCTGCGTGGCGGCCCGGCTGTATGCCCCCGGCATCGGCATCGACGCGGGGGGAGTACCGGGGTCCACATTGCGCATCTTCTTCCAGGGCTTGTTCCTGGCGCCGCAGACGACTGGGGAGGCGCTCAAGGGGGGCCGGCTGGTGGCTGAGGTGAGATGGTGTGTGTGTGTGCGTGTATGTGTATGTATATGTGTATGTCACAAGGTATAGGTTGGAACACCGCCACTACCTTCCGCATTGCTGGTGGACTATTTCGGCTATTGCTGCTACTGCTACTGCTACTGCTACTATTGATGCCATGCTGTGTTACTGCTGCTGCTGCTACTGCTACTGCTACAGCGCCAGTTATCGCTTCTTAATGGCGATAGATCCGGATCTGTAGCTACCGTGATATAGAGCAGAACTAGGAGTGCAGTATCTGTTATTGGTCAAGTGCTCTCTTGAATTTTGCGGTACATCAATTGAATACACATATGAACCACACCACACGCACTCCCTATACCCCACCGTAACCTAACCCCACCCATCAGCCCCACTCTTCCCCCCCTCCTGCGTTCACGACATTGTGTAGGGCATTTTGATCGTACGGTGTTTCCTCTTTAAGATCTCGAAACCCCCTCTACCATTTCGCGCTTCCAAAAAAAACCCAAACCCGTATAACCCCCCTCTAAAACACCTTTTTCCCCCCTCCCCCCGGGTTTTCCCCCTCCCCCGGGTTTTCCGCCCTCCAGCTGCTGCATCGAGAGGGGTTCACGGTCATCCCAGCCCCCGGAGTACCCGAGGTGTGGTCCATGATCACAGCCGTGGAGCTCAGGTCGCGGGAGAGGATGACCGCCTTCTGCCGGGGAATCCAGAGAACCTGCCCCATTGGATCGTACATTTCCCCAGAACCAGGTACGACGAAAAATACAAGTGCTTGCCGTACAGACTGCGGACTGCTGCGAGGAGGGGTGTGTTGGAAGCAGTGCGCAAGCGCGTGTGTGGGTTAGGAGTGGGAAGTACGGGGGCCGTACAGGATTTGAGCCCTCTGCGGGCATCGCCCCCCGGGGGGGGCTTCGCGGTCGTCGTCCAGCACACGTGGTGGGTTTCGTTCGTGTTTCTATTCCGCGATAGATAATCATCATGATAATTGAAGTTATTATGACAGGTCTCTTCAGCTTGTGAGAGAAGACCTACTGGGACTGCGGCGCACGTGTTTTCCGGTGCACGAAACAAGACGAATCCGCATGCCACCTCTCTCCACGCGCTCCCCCCTCACTTCTGCGCCTTCCCTCCCTCCTCCATTCCTATTCCTCGTTTCCGCCCACCGTCGACCACCGCACACATACATAACCCAAACTGCCGAATATTCCCCGAACCCCCCGAACCCCCACCCAGTAAGCCGCCTTCGTTTCTGTGTCTTCCCACATCCCCCCTTTCTCCATCGTATGTACGACAGGCGTTACAGCGGGATACGGCGACGAGGTTATCTTCGCGGATGGTACTTTTATCGATGGTTCGACAGCGGAGCTGTCGGCAGACGGTCCTATACGGGAGCCGTACGTCGTGTACTGCCAAGGCGGCACACACTGGACGCACTGGGCGCTGGCTCTAGAGGGAGCAGTGACTTCATTACGTGAAGCAGTTGCGAAGGATAACTAACTAACGAACTTTAGGAAAATGGGGAGGTTGGGGCCACATATGGGTTCAAAGAGGGGGTGCCACGACATTTTAGTGCCACGTTCATTTTACCGAGAGAAGTAATTGTGTACGTACTTATGTATGCACGATAGCAACCCAGGAGGCCGTTCACAGCGTTGTGGCGAAGGTGTGTGGGAAACGAAGGGGAATGGTGACACCCCTCGGAGGCCAAGTGGGCAAGGAATGGATCCAAACCAAGGATTGGATCCAGATCAAGGGTTGGATCCAAACCAAAAAATGGATCCAGATGAAGGACGATCCATCCCGACAGCTCGTTTAGAAGTGGAAAGGGATTTAGCGGAGGGCGCAACTTACGGAGCTGCAAAGCTGGGGAGGTGGGAGGGGTGAGAGGGTTATTTTACTTTTGGTTGTACTTAAGCCGCCGATGTTAACACTCATTCATTCATTAACGGAGCGCGAGGGGGGTGGGAGAGGGAAAGAGAGTGGGAGAGGGAAAGGGGTCACCTAGCGGTGTCACCCTAGGATGGGGGAGGAGGACGTGGTGCGGGGGAACAGAGGCGATTATGTACCCCCCTGCGCACATAAACACCACCACCACCACCTTATTGAGTTATTCCCCCCCTGCGCATTTTTTCGCGGCGATGGGTGGGTGAGTGGGAAGCGGATACATGGGCTGCTGCACCGGCTCAGTTCTTCAGCTAATCGGCTAAGCAGACGAGCTCCATGCGTGTGTTCGTATGTATGTGCTATCTTTTCCACTTACGCAATGGTTCCAGTGGCTGCGTCTTGACGACGGCATTGGGATGATGTGTGTGCATGTATGTGTGATGTGTGGGACAGGGGGTATGTATGTATGACTTAGATTACACTATGTGTGTATGTATGTATGTATGTATGTATGTATGTGAGTGGAAAGAGTGAGGGAGACGGGATGAGTAAGGGTGGTAGCGAGAGGGGCGGCCGGGAAGGAAAGAGGAGACAGGGTTATTTTGTTACTGTCTCTCCGTGTTTGTGCCCTTGGATCTCTTGGCTGCACGTGAGTGGCCCTCCAGGTCTGTTATGTCTGTATGTCTGTATGGCGCACCCTGCAAGGCTCCTTGTTTGTGTGCACTGCGTGGGCGGCACAGAGGTGTGTGACGCACCCATATTGGGTTGATGAAGCTGAGGTAGGTCGCCGCCGCGGAGGGCTTGGCGTGACGCGAAGTGTAGTGAACGTTTGGCAGCGACGGTGAGCTTTATGAAAGAGGGTGCACTCTTCTCCGTGCGTTTGATTGAGGCCCGTCTATCCGTCCACGGAACCTACCTACCTACCTACCTACCTACCTACCTACATACATACATATCCCACCTGCAAGGATGCATGCCTCAGGGTGCGGCATCGTGGTGCCGGTAAGGAAAGCGTGAAGAGACCTGGAGACCTGCAGACGCGGTGCAGCAGGCCATCGAATAGCCATTTCCCCAACCCACTGGGCCCCCTCCGCCCTCCTTCACTGCCCAGCCTCCCTGGCCCCCGAATGCGTGTCCCGTGAGTCCCGTGAAGAGGGGTCAGTTGGGTCAGAAAGCCTAAACCCAGGAAAGGGCCCCCGGGGCCAGGGGAGCGGAAGCGACATGTTGGATGCCTGGGGAAAGTAGCAGCGTAAATTGGATGCCAGCCGTACACATGTGCAGGGCCGCTCGGCGCCTGATACCACCGCAATAACTACCGTTGGATCGGGCACGAGCATGCCAGCAGGTTGTTTCCTCGCTCGGCTACCGCCGCTGCGTTCGCATCCCTTCTGTATGCATGTTGTTAAGGGGTGCTAGGTCACCTTTGGGTTATTTAGCCCAGGTTGATCAACCTGACCCCGGGTGGCGATGAATTGCTCAGGCTGTTTCGTAGTCGCTCCCTCTGGGGCTGAAATTGCTGTATTGCGCCTGGCTTGGACAGACGCCTGCCTTGGCAGCGTCGAGAGGGAGAGCAGCTCGTGGCTACCGCGAGCTGTAATCTTCGACCTAATTGACATCCAGAGGCGACCAGCATGATCTCCTGGATATAATACGGGGAGTAACGCTGAGTTTTCGCTATCGGTTCCAGCCAACGTGAAACGCTTGTCGTCCCTTGGGTCTCGCGACGAAGAAGTCCTTGCAAGGCCTGCATAATGACTTTTATGGGGATCATCCTCGTGTATCTTACCTTGCGTCAGATGTCATAGTTGAGTGCCAAGGCTGCCGAGGGTGACGCGTTTCGATGCGTCTTGTCACGTTCCTGTCATGCCCCCAGGTTCAGGCGAAGAAATAGCTGATACCAAGAATTGGTTGAGGCGTTTTCCCTGGGCAAACGTCCAGGTTATATAAACAGCATTACGCAGCCGCTTGTTGAGCAGTCGAAATCCGTGTACGGCAGCCTTTCCTCAAGAAAGGGAGACTCGCGATCATGAGGGCCAAATGCATCTCTAGTAAAACATCTCTGAACCTGGCTGATTGGAGCTGTTGGGGCCAGCGTCGTTTGCCCTTGAGCCGCCCTTGTGCCCGCACTCCCTTTGGTGGGAGGCGGCGTAGTTACTAGGAGCTTTATTGAGAAGTTAAACTCTCAAGTATGAAGCTTCTTCAGAATCAGCGATGAGAGTTGCAGCTTCAGCCGCGGTAGCGGGAGCTCGGAGGCTTTCCACCGTAACTAGTTTCGCAACTGGTAGCCGCGTATCAGTGGCTTAGGTGCAGCGGCGCAGAGGACAGCCAGCATGGCGGACGCGGGCACATCCACTGGGCAACACAACGCTGGCGACGGTGACGATGAGATAGCGGAAGTGGACCCCGAAGGGAGCTACTGCCGCTACAAGGAGCCTGTGGGCAAAGGGCGGTTTAAGACCGTCTTTAAGGCTTTCAACAGGTTCGTGAAACGCCCTTGAGAAAGCCTGGTGTACCGTCTGTTGCCGCCGGGGTCATTTTCCCCGACCTTGGGTCATTTTCCCTGGTTATTGCTCTGTCCACGCAGCCAAATTGGGATAGATGTGGCCTGGAGCAAGGTCCGCGCGGATTCGAATCACTTGAGCGAGGAGCAGCTTCACAGTGTAGCCAAGGACATGATGACCGGGTTGGAGCTGGACCATCCCAACATCATAAAATGCTTCCGGTGCTGGGAAGACCAGGAGCATGGCTGCATTAACCTGATTACGGAGCTTTTCACCTCCGGCAACCTGCGCCAGTATCGCAACATGCACAAACATCTCGACCTGAAGGCCGTTAAGCGCATGGCCAAGCAGATCCTGAAAGGCCTTCAGTATCTGCACAGCATGAGCCCCTCTGTCACACATGGGGATTTGCGGTGCGACAAGATATACGTGAACGGCCACAGCGGGGAAATTAAGATCGGCGACCTCGGCTTGGCGACCTTGCTGCCTTACCGCTGGGAGGAGCATGAAGGGCACAAAGGCGCTTTTGATACCTCGGTGGACGTGTTTGCGTTCGGGCTGTGCATGCTTGAGCTTATCACCCTTAAGCAGCTGGACCCGCAGCATTGTTCCGACTGGCCGCAGCTGCTGCAGGAAGTTCCGGACGAGGAAGCCCGCGCCTTTATTGGCAAATGCCTTGGTCCCTTAGATCAACGGCCAACGGCAGAGCAGCTTCTTGCGGACCCTTTTTTCGCCGTGCGAAGAGACGCCAAGTTGAGCGGCCTGGAGCCGGATGGCAATGGCTCGGCGCGGAGCCTTGCACCTCTTGAGCAGGAATCCGGTCAGGGTCCGAAGATGCGGCGAACAGACGATGCGCTGGGCGGGCCTGGCGTGGAGCCTGAGGTCGGAGCGGGCGAGGCTAGCATTGCTGTCGGACGGCTCAAAGGCGAGGACTATGAGTTCGTTTTCAGCGCCAAAACTGTTGACGGAAAATTGCATTTCCAGCTTACCATGCTGGGTGTGACGAAGCCGGGCGAGGAAAACCAGCTGAAGCGCGACATCGAGTTCGTGTTCGACCCCGAGACGGACACAGCCGATAGTTTAGCTGGCGAGCTCTCCCAGCAGTTCAACCTGAGCCCCACGGACACGGAGATTTGCGCAGCCGCGCTGAAGGAATACCTGGCAAAGGAGCTGGGTAATGATGCCAACGACTAATGTCACAGCAGCATGTGTTTTCGTGTGTCGAGTGTTGGGTTGCTAGATGCAGCCGGCTTTAGTGCTGGAGCGCGTGTATGAGTGTCAGGGGGGGGTGAACAGGTGACTTACTCGGGCCGTGGGGCTGGGTTCCTCGTCAGGGCTGCCCTGCCGTTAGCAGCGCTGCTGCAGTCCGTCGCGCTGTTGTGGTGTGGCGGCGGCGGCCCTGGGGTGTGGGAAGGCATAGTAGGCGCTAAATGCGCCGCGCAGGATGTATCCCATTCGCTGAGTGTAGGCCTGTGCAGAAGGGTTGCCACTTTTATGCCAGCCGTGTGGCATCAGGCCAATTGAACCTCAACGCCAAGCGACAATATGTCGGCGGCTGCCTTCACTGGCTGGCCCTGCATGACATTGGGGGAGGTGAATTGAGAGGGGGAATGCACCGGGAAACGACCGATTGCGCTGACAGAAGCCACAATTAACGAGTGTTGCGTTTGCATCAGCGCGTTTTTTTGGGACCCTATGCTCACGCCATGGCGCGTCTGGCGGCGTGGCAAGAGATGTATCGGGTGTTTGGGTCCTTATCTTGGTTTCGAATTTGGACCTTGACCGGTTTGAGCGTTTGTACGGACAAATTGACTTTCGTTATTCCGGGGTCATGCAATGCAAACCGTAGTGCGTCATCATCGCATGACAATTCGTACGGTTCTTCATTCTCCGTCCCGCTGTCAATTATGCAGTACACATTTGGCTTGCAGAGCTTTCCGGGCTTTCGTCTGCCAGCTTGTAGTAGCTTTGAAACATCCAGCAAACTGGGGCGCACAATTGCACAAGTGTCTGTTGCGCGCTGCCGCATAATCTCATTGCAGTGCTTGGGAGGAACGTAATACTTACAAGGGTTTCAAACGGAATGGAAGTTCCGGGCTGTTCCCTCTTGACATGCAATTAGGAACCGTTTGTAGTCAAAGCCTTGCACACTGCCTTAGCACTGCAAGAAAGTTCCTTATGATCCCTATCTCCGCGTATACCTTTCACTATCCAGCGAATGCTTGCCTTGTCCCCTCGCCCAAGTCTGCACTATTCAGTCTGTACACATTCTCTCATCTACTCCTGTGCCGCGGCCATCCCCGATCTGTCACCACCCTCCATTGACTGTGTGTCCAAACCCTCCTGCTGGTCGTGTTGTGGTTGCTGCTCCTCCTGTGCAATCTGCGTGACGAGGCCGCGCAGCAGCACAGCGTAAAGCAGCCCCTTGTATCCGCTCTGGATAGTAGCCGCCGCCGACTGAGAGTTAGCTGCCAGCACCGCCGCCATCTCGTCCAACTCTTTGCCCTCGAAAGCTGGCGAGGTTATCACCTCCGCCTCCGAGTTACCGCCCTCGGGTGACGTCATGGTCGACGCCAGCGCGTCCAGGGTTGCAGCATAAGCTGCACTGATGGCACGCAGGTCAGCCACCATGCGGCGCGCCTCCGCTGCCAACAGCGCTGCCTGCTGGTCGCTGCTGTCAGGCCAGGCAATACCGTCCACGGCGGGCCTACGGCGACAGGATGCCCCGAGTACAGGCGAAAGGTAGAGGATTCGAATCACTAACCCAGGGCAGCTCAGTCTGTTTCGGGGCTTTCCGCCATGAAGGTCTACGCGCGCCGCGCAATCTGACGGCGACGCAAGTACAATTCACAAATCGGAAGCTTTGCTTAGCATTCGCCGCCACGCAGGCCCGGATTTATAACATAGAAAAACACGCTGAAACGCACCTGCCGGTCCGCGCGGGTGCCGCCAGACTGGCGCCGAGATTGAGCATCAGCTGCAGCTGCGCTGTCGTCACCTCCGCCAGGCGCTTGGTGAAATGAGCTCGGAAGCTGTCAAGAACCACCCTTGGCTCAGCAACCTGCTGCCGTAAGAGCGCCGCAAGCTCGCGTTCCTCCACGTCATCTTCGCCCTCCGCTTCCGCCTCGTCACCATCGCCAGGCTGCCTCCTGCGTACCGGGTGCGCACATGGTCAATACCATGTGACATACGCTGCCTGATGAGGCAGCAATACCGCAAGGTTTGGAAACCCCTTTCCTCCGATCCCAACCAACCCAAAACTGAAACACCTTTAAAACTAACACCGTGTTCTCCCCTAAAGCGTACACACGCACCTCTCCCGCCTGGCCCGCGACGCGCTCGCGGCCTCCGCCTCCTTCGCCGCTGCCACTGCCTCCACCAACTGGTGTAGGAAGGCCTCCGCACGCGACTGGCTGTCCTGGCACAGATACCCTATGGGTTCGTACATCTGGCCCAAGCGCTCCGCCGCCTCCTTGCTGCCGTCGTCCAGCTCTGGAACCACCGGCCCGGCAGCTTCCGGCTTCCCATCGGCCGCGGCATCCTTGCCAGCCTCACTCTCCGTCTCCGCCTTGGCGGCGACCCATGGATCGTTAAAGTAGGGTCCCAGGCGGCCGAGCGCCTCGTCCAGGGCCTGCTGCTGGTCGCCTGGGCGGCGGGCCCAGCACACGGATGGTGATAAGGATAAAGCAGCAGGCAAGCTGGCAAACCCCCTTGGTGCGCCCCCCGCCGCTGTGCTGCCACGACCGGCGCGACCAGTCCCATCAGCACGGCCACCTCTGCAAGGTCCCCCCCTGCAAATCACCTTTCCATAACTCAAAGCGCCGCTATTCAATTCTAGCTGCACAACCTCCCGCCCTTCTGCCGCAAACCCTGGTTCTCCATCCTCTTAGCACTCCTGTATAGCACTCCAGTAGCTGCTTCCTTTCCCCCTTGCTTTTCCCTCCGATGTGCATTCCACTTCCCCTCCCTCCTTCCCGAACCCACACGGCGCGCCCGACCTTCCAGCTTGGATCGCGACTTGTTGCACAGGTGTGAACATTCATTGGACAGGTTGTTGACCTCCTCTGCCAGTTGCTCGCCACCGTAGATGTAGAAGAAGTCCTGGTTGAGTTTGCGGTGAGGTTTGGGATGATGTGAGGGCCGGGAGGGCGGGAGAAGCAGGAGAACGCAAGGAGGGCACAGTGGGGTCATAAGAGGATTGGGAGTAGACCAGGTGCAAGTCAGGAAGCGACAAGGCCCGAAACAAAAGGGCAAGGAAGAAGCGGACCGCTTTACAGGAGAAGCGGGAGGGGGGTTAAGGAAACAGGAGATAGGCTAGGGGAGATGGGCGAGACATGTGTCCCCCGGCAACGAAGTGCCCACCTGACTTGTTGCAACAAACACAGCGCGAACTGACCAGTGAGCTCGGTGCTTGAAAAGCTTACAACTTAGTCAAGATCCCCATCATCCCACCCCGCTACTGCTCCTCACTCCAACAACGCACCCACCTGGAACGACGAGGGCTCACGGCCCATGTCAGCAGCACGCGCATCCGCATCCTCGCCCCAAATGCGCCGCCTGCCGGGATGTCCTCCACCGCCTACACCCGCCACCTCCTCCAAAAGCACCATGGCCGTACGACCCACAGTCTGGAAAAACGGAAATCCGGCGACAGCCATGTATGTTGCGGCGGCGGCGGATAATGAGAATTGCGAGCAGCGCCACAACTAGGGCCTTCAGGCGGCACAGGACACCGACGTGGACCAGGGGTTCATTACACCCGGGAACACGTAAACCTAAAGAACCCCAAGGCCCAACCCAAAAGGGACGGGACGCGAAGCCCTATTCATACACCACCACCACACCCTAGACGATGTCGGTGGCACCATAACGCCTTCGCGTTACGTCAACGCGGTCCAGTACGGCATCCAACCCATAAAGAGGGAAAGCCCAAACGATGCCGTACGCCCCCTAATCTGCCCTGTAACAAAACCCACCCACACCGTGAAAACCTTGCTGTCCTATGCCACAGCCCCTAACAGCCGTACCCCCCCCCAAAATCCCCTCCCACATCTCTGGAGCCGTAACCCCCCCTCTGGATGTCCCCTCCTCCTTCATCTCTGTCTCACTCACGGCACGCCTTACGGCGCGCTCATGAAAAGCCATGCTCATGCAAACCGTCCTGTCCACCTGATCCACCACCACACGCATTGTTGCCATCCCCTCGCCACTAACCTCCAGGCCTCGCTCCGCAGTGTGCGCCAGCTTGGTGCCAATTTGCGCCACCCCGCGCACCGCCTCACTGCTCTGTACGTCCGCCACACTCGCCACCACCTCCGCTGCCACCACTTTAGCCACACTGCTCAGTCCGCCCCAGAGGCTGCTGAAGGCGCGAGCCGCACCCGTAGCCAGCTGCTCCACTTGCGCGTCGATGGCCTGTGGTGCCGTGGGAGCACTATCACACCCGGTCACCATATGCGGCCAAAAGGTGAACTGCCCGTGATGAAACCACCATCGACTGCCGGCGTCCTCCCAAGCATTTGGATTCCAGAAACTGAAAAACAGCGCTTCTGAAAGATTGTTCCTAATAGGATTTGGGTCGTGTGTAGCCGTCGTCGTCCTGAACGGTGTTGTAGAGTGGACCCAGAGGTGGACACGGAGGGCAGCCTGGTTTTGCTAAGCCGTGTTAACTGACCTTGTATGCCCATACTTTGTTGATGCGCCTAGTAGTGTTGAGTGACAGGTGTTTCTCCTTCGGAGGAGTGAAATCGCCTTCATATCCGAAACGATATTACTTTATTGAGTAGTGATGCACTGCAACCGAGGACTTACCTGTACGTACGGCACGTGTGGCGGCAACATTGGCGAAATCACAGAGGCCCATGCACGCAGGAGAAAACAGACAAAAGGGTTAGCATCCACAGAACTAGAGGTGGTGACGCAACACCTGGGTGTGAAAAGGTGGTGGCAAGAATTATAAAGATTGCAAGGTTACGACGGGGCATCCCCCTTCCCCCATCACCCAGATGCCGTCTCCCGTCGAATTTCGGTGTTCATAAAATCGTTACTGCGTATTTTCCACACAACCCCAAACCACAGATAGATAAAATCTTGGGTTTGACCTACATGCCTCAGAGGGAAAGACAGGCAGAGCAGGGGCCCCAGCTGGTGGGCTGGGACCCACCCACCTGAAGCCCCACCTCCAGCGCAGGGTCCGCAGGGGGACTAGGCGGCTCCAGGGAGCCCCCCGCCGACCCACGAACGCTGTCTGCGGCGCCACTGCGTGTGCCAGCGCCAGCACCTCTAACCGGTAGTGCAGCCTCGCGCGCTGGCTCCGCCGCCTGCCGAGGTGCGTCGGTGGGCAACACAGTGCCTGCAGCCCCACCCTCCTCTCCGCCAGAAGGATCATCGCTGACAACGCCGGCGGCCTCGGCCTCTGCTGCGCGGTCCATGGCGCTGATGCGTCGGGCCTCCTCGACCTCTTCCTCGGCGCCTGTCACGTCGGCAAGCGCTGCTTGGAAGGTCTCGGTGAGGTCCTTCACGTCGCGCACCGCGCCAGCCGCGACTTCGCGCAGCTTCCCGCCTAGCGCGCCTAGGCCCCAGCCGCTACCCCAGCCGACTCCCCAACCGCCTCCCGTGCCCTGCCGCAGATGGCCCTGTTGGTCCTGAAGGAGCTGTGTGCCCTCGCCCTCCTTATCCTCCTGCTCAAAATTTTCAACCTCTTCTTCTCTCACAAAGCTGCGCTTATTTTCAGTCGGCTGAGGCGGTATTGGGGATATCGCAGGCGTAATTTCCGATACCTCAGCAGCGCGCGGGAAATTTGCAGGGACTGACACGGGCGCCAAAGCTGTGGCCCCCTCCGCTTGTGGTTCAGCAGCCGGCAGCAGGACTTCTGGCTTAGCTTCCGGCTGAGCTGTTGTAACAATGCTTGCATCAATTGGGGCAGTATCTCCTGGCTTGTCGGTTTGCTTTTCCTTGTTTGTATCCGCTGCAGTAGTCACGGCTTCCTCCTCGGGCTTGGCACTTTTCGGTGCGTCAGATACCGGAGCAATCGATGAGGGCGCAACAGGCTCGGCGAGTGTTTTGCTCCTTGTGGCCAAGGTGGGACTTGCTTCCTCATCTGGGGTATCTAAAGTCGCCCATTCATCCATTTCCTCCTGCGTGGGCTCAGGTGCATCCTCTCCCAGCTCCAAGCCCTCGAATGGGTCGTCCTCCAGTTCATCGTCAATAACTGGCTTGCCATCTGGCATTGTGCGTAAATTTTAATATCAGGAAACAGCCAGACTTCCAATTTCAGGCAGCAGTTACATTTATGACAGACGAAACAGACCTGCGGTACGTATGCGAACAGCGTTGCTTCCCTTCAAGCTTCGAGTATGCCTAAGCTATCCATAAAGATAGTTAAATATAACTTGTTTAACGGTTTAAGCAAAACCGCTGCCGCTTCAGTCATGAAAAGACTCTCAAACAGCCCTACGCAAATGGGTTGCCCCCCGTTTCGCCCAATTGCTGCTGCGCCAAGGTCCCTGATGGCTGCGACAATGCAGCACCCATCTGGCCAAAGCTAAATACACCCGGCCCCGCCACCAAACCCAATCCTGCGCCCTGAAACCTGCCGCCGCCCGGCGCAGATACCAACCCCGGCGACACCATACCACCAGGCTGACCCGCGTACGCATACACTGCGCCCACCGGCTGCGGCTGCGGGGCCAGGCCCACCCCCGGCAACGCTGCCAACACCCCCGGCGGAGCCATCATGCCTGCAGCAGAAACGCCCAAACCCTGCGGCAGACCCGCGCCCGGCTGCCCTGGGAACGTAAACGGCGCGACGCCCGGCATCCCCGGGTCCGCGAACAGCATAGCCGGCTGGCCCGGCACCATCACGCCGGGCGCGACAGGCGGCGGCCCCATCAACGGACGATATCCCGCAACACCCGTTACCCCAACACCCATCGGCTGGGGCAACACTGGCTCCGAAAACAGGGCGCTGGGCAGCTCAGCACGTCGAGGCGGCAGGGACGGCGGAGCCTGCGGATGGACGCCGCCGCCGCCGCTCGCGGTGCGGGATCCCGGTCGGTCTCCCGTTGTGGTGGTTGTGGTGGTTGCGGTGGTTGTGGCCGAGATACCCAGCTGTTGCATGCGCGGCAGTCCTTGAACAACAAGGTTGTGCTGGTGCTGGGGTTGGGTTTGGTGCTGGTACTGGGGATTGGGGTGCTGCGGGGCGGACGTGGGAGGGGATACGGCAGGGGAAACGTGCACTGGCGAAGGCTGGGACTGGGACTGGGGCTGGGGCTGGGACACCGATACGCCGGCAGCCGGCGCCGGGGGCGTTGCGCCCGCGAATGCCCCCCAGTCCGCATCATCATTGAAGCCAGCGGCCCTACTGCTGTCGGTCGGCCAGCCCATGGACGCCTTCGCCAGCGCTGGCGTGGACGGGAGCTGCAGTGGCGGGATGGCGGCAGTATTAGCAGGTGCACCGCCGCCGCTGCGATTACTGGCGGCGCCGACGGAGGTGCTGCCGCCCGTACTTGGCGTCCGCACCTGCTGCTGCTGTTGCTGCTGTGGCGATGATGACGTTCCCGGGTTGCCAACCCAGGCGGCAGTTGAGGGTCCGGCGGGCCACGCGGCGGCGGGGGGCGCTGGGGGGTACAACGCCGCTGCGGCGGAAGCCGCCGCCGATGTTGACGATGCAGGCGGCGGCGGTGGTCCGGAGAAGAAGGATCCAAAGGGATCAAAGGCGGGCGACGCAGCGGCGGTCGAGACAGTGGACGGTGGCGACGCTGCACCCCGTCCAGATGTCGATGTGGTGGGTGCGGATGACGGCGGTGGCGGCGGCGGCGGCGGTGAAGACACGAAGGCATTATCCGTAAAGCCAAGTGGGGCGGGGGACGCCGACAGGTTCGAGGCTGCTGCGGCGGCAGCGGCGGCCGCCGCCGCCGGCGCTGCGAACGCGCTGAATTGTGTGATGGATTTGCCGGGTGGAAACACGTTGGTCTGTTGCCTGCGCAGCGTCGATCCGAGCGGCGCAAGTCAGAAGTTAGCGCAGCTGGGGACGGATAAAGGCCGATAAGAAGTGGGGGTGCCGTTGGGTTTCGGCAGGCCGTAGGAGAAACGCTCTTCTGCTACGTTCAGGGCTCGAACGCAGGACGTCAAATGCCATCATCTCTCAAGACACATTGCGGCCTGTCCACAGAGCTCTAGCGCCACAGCTACCGCCGCGACCCAAGCACGATAAAAAAAATGATGGCCTCGTGGAAAGAGGCTAGCTATACTGATGTCCATCTTTCTTGCCTTTTTCCTCTCTTTGATTCTCCTTCTACCTCCCTCTATCTCAACCTTGACCTCATGCTGTACGACATACACATGTCGTCGTTTCTTCCGGAACTTTCCCCCACCTCGGGGCGGCGCTCCCTCCCATACCGTGTACTCCTCACCCATCCCATGCGGTCGCAAACAACAACTTCGCGCCCGGCCGCTGACCCGAAGGCCGCTGACTCAAAGGAACCAATTTTCGCAGAACCACCGTGGACGAAAAAGCAGCTCACCAGAAACAAGCAGCGATGTCGGCAAAGACGTACACGTACACGTACACAGGGCACGTCTCACACTTCCGACGCCTCCTGTACCCCTCATCCTGCTCTTGCCTATAGAGAATGCACGCTCACCACGCTAGCAAAAGGTCCCACAGGACACATACATACTCACACACACACGGCACTTACTCCTTAGATGTGGAGCCAAGTTGCGGCCCGGGTGGACGAGGCTGTAGCGGCTGCAACGGCAGCGGCTGTGGCGGGGCCGTAGCGGCCGGGGGCACAGCGTGGGACGTGGGGAGTGCGGTCGCGGGCACCCCGGGGGACGTCGCTGCGGGGCTGCCGGCTAGGGAGGGCGCGGAGCTCACCTGCGGCGCATTGACCCGTGGGTCGGTGGATCAGTAGAAGCAGTCAACAGGCGGAGGAGCTTCGGCTACTACATGCCGCAAGGACCGCATCCCACGCACAAGCACACGTGCACATTATCCTGGAGCTTGTTACCCACGACGTTGACAGTCAGACATGCTGGGACCATGTTGGTCCGTCATGATTCTCCTTTACAAAGGGGGAGATATCCTCCTTCCCCTGCGGAAAAACCGGCCTAGTGCTGGGATCCCCAGCGTATGAGGCCCGGCGGGGTCCCACCGCTGCCCTAATTACCACTGCAGCTACTACCGCGACAAGCGGCATCCAGCCATCACCAGATGCAACTCGCAGTGCATCACCACACGTGTGTGGAGCGCTTCCTCCATAACCCCCACGTTCATATTCCCCCCAATTAAATTACTCCACAATGGTCACCGCCACGCACCGTTAGTTTAACTGCTCCAGGGGCGCCACCCAACACCTCAGACAGCGGTCGCACAGGAATCTGCTCCGCTGCGTGTCCTCGCCCGCGCTGCAACGAATACCGGGGGTTAGAGGGCGGGGAGGAGGGGAGGAATGATATGAAGTATTCCCCAAGGCGGCAACTGGCGATGCCGAAAGGAGGAGGAGGAGTGCTGGTAATGTGGACCATCGGCTGCCCATGTCTTCGCATCGAACGCAATAGGCGGTGGGGCCAACCGGCGGCATATCACACGAGGAGTGAATATTTAGGGGGAAAAGGCAACCCAGGAGTGTTATGGCAGCGGGATTGTCCCGGCGGATCGGCTGGGTCGCCAAAATATTCCATGGCCAAAGAGCAACAAGGGAGCTGGGGACACAGAACGGTGTGTAGTGTAGCTTTGTCCGTACCTGCGTCGCCCCGGCTGCCGCAGGGGCGCTAGCGCTGTAGTAACGCTTCTCCAAGAAAACAGCCTGGATCCATGCGTCTATCTGCGTGAAGTACGGCAGACACGTGCACGAGGTTGGTGGGGCTCACATTAATCGCCTGTAAGCGCATTGCACATCAGGCGCAGGTGACCACCAAGCGGAAGAGCAGCGAAGTCAAGACGACTTTGTCCGATTATAATAGCCCCCGGATCCGTCAACAGCACGTCAGAATTACCATTCGTAAGGGTAGGGGCCAATGTAGCTAGGGCGCATGCTGCCTCGCCTTCCCCCTCGTCAAGCCGTGGGGGCCCCAACAGGAGCGATCATTCCCCCACACAAGCGTGGATGCAGCAGCAGCAGCCAACACTAAAAGCGTGGTTCGTAATGTGTGCGTAGGGGGGATGAGGAGAGCGGCGCACCTGGGAGAGGTTTCTGGATACAGGCCTGCTGATGTCGCTCTCTGGCTTCCATTTCGCCAGCCACGTGCTTTCAGCGACCTGCGAGTGCAAGCAGAGCCAAACGCTGTTCGAGATCCTTGATAGATAGTTCGGCAATAGGTTCTATCGATGGGTGTCGTAAGGAAAGGAAAGCCGTCAAAATCCCCGGGGACAGGTGCGAACTTTGTTCTGCTACCAAGGGTTGGCCCTTAAGCCCATGGGTGTGCTCTAACTCCCGCACCCGTTGGCTTCGCCGCCAAGACTGTACCCACCGCATTACCACCCGCATCCAAAGCGCTGATCTCCTCGGCCGTAAAATTGCTCATGCTCAAATTCTTGGCACGTTGCCCGCATTTGATGCTGTTCACGGTTTTCCCCAGCGGAAAATTTAGCTTTTCAGCCCTGGCAATATTCGCACTACATATTGATGGCACCTGATGACTTACTGCCGGCCGCTGCAGTCCATACACACAAAAATTGACAGAGATGGTACCACCGAATAACTTCCCGAGGCCCCACAATCAAAGCAGCGTCGGTTCTTTGGCCTCTGGGCTATTGCCCTTATAAGTTTATCAGTTGACATTGTTACGAATTTGGTCTCCAGCAGGACGGCTTCACGATGGAAAGATCCACATGGAGCGCTTGGTGGATTGCCCAGAAAAAGTTGGGTAGAGTTGCCAACAAAACGTTTTTGATAAAGGTTGGAGCCTACTCTACCCACTCTGACGTCGGTTCTGCGTGTAGTATTACTGGGGATACGACAAATATGCCCAGTACGACGCCCTTGTGCGCCAAAGGCATTTTGCACGGTCCACCGATTAAATGCACGTATGACATCCAATGGACGTCTACCGGGAACGCTTGCGTCACGCGGTTCCACATGCATGCTGAGCGGAGATACCTCCTTTGTCAGATCAGGGTAAACCCAGACGGTAATCAGACCGTAGGTTCCCAAAACCCTTCACGTCCGCCCTTATCCGGCACTACTGCAACTTTGGCCACCCCTCCCCATCACGTGCCAAGTCCTGGAGGGTTGCCACCTTGCACACCTGGGTCCACTTCGTACGTTGATCAGGTTTGATCCGGATAGCTGTGCCAAGCATTTTGCCGTACACGACAGCGTGAGTGGAATAATAATTACTGCAGATCCACATGTTCCGCGCCCAGCTCGGAGCCCTGTGTACAAGCGAGTTACGCGTCTGTCCAGGCATCTAATGGTGCCACCGCTCCTGCATATTGCGGCCGGTGTTCGTACTGCTGCTGCTGCTGCTGCTGCTGCTGACATTGCTCCTGCTGCTGCGGCTGTTGGTGCAGCCATGTCCCGAGTGCGTCAATATACAGGAAAGCGGAAGGCAATGGAAGTAAATCCCCCACCTTCCCAAACAGGATTTTCGCGTTACAGATGCTGCCTGCCGCCTACCCGATCCAACGCTGATTACCGAGCAGCTGAAATCAGCGCAGCCCGCCATCCCATCTGCCCGTCCGCCGCAACCGAAACAAACCGGAGCTGTCGGTATGCACGTACACCACCGGGCAGGCTGTGCCCATAAAATCCCGGCACGCCGGCTCGGCCGTCATCGACCAAGCGCCAAAATCTGAGGCCCTTTCCGGCCCCCATTGAGCGTCCACTCGTCCATGCTGTGATGTCCATAAAACTCCGAAGCGAAACCTCCCTAAAACCCGAGGGCGGGAAACACGCGGAAACCACACCTATCTATCCATGCGTTCATCAACCCTCCCATCCATTTATTCTGCTTTTTCTTCATGTTTAGTTCTACCTGTTCAAGGGATGGAAAGCCCTGCATACACCCGCAAACAGAGCCTATGGCAACAAAAACATCCCCCCACTCCTCGCGTCCTTAGAACCTCTAAAACTGGTAAGGAAAGAAGGCCTCTGCAGGCTTTGTGCGTGTCCTCTTCAGCTCCGTCGCGGGGTGGGACGAGAAGGTGGAGAACCCACTTCGACGACGAAGGCCACACCGGGAAGCCGTGATAAAGAAGAAAGAGAAGGAAAGCGAACGAGCGATCGAGTGTGACCGTGCATGAGAGAGAGCGAAAGAGAGCAAAACATGTGCCAATGACGACGATATCAACTAGGAAGCCCATAAGACTCAACCCAAACTGCTCTCGTAGTCCCTATCTTCAGAACCCCAAGCAAAACATGAATACACCACGACCGGAGAACACCATGAATGACGAAACCCGCCATCATCATCCCCGGGACTTACACCAGCCGCAGTAAACCTATAGGTCTTGTCAGGCATTTGTTGAAGCAGCAGTCACCAAGGAGATATGCGCGGATCCCCAGTTCCCCCCAATGACCAAAACCACGTCGCGACGAACACGCCAGGACCTCTCCTCTGCGCTGCATGAACCGCCTCTACCCGAAGCTACGACCCTAGCAGCAGACCTACGTATGCCAGATCTGCCTGCTGTCAATCGCATCCGAAGGGGGCATCGTGCCCTCTAAACGCTGTCGCCGATGACATACATACGTACATAAATACATACGTACATAAATACATACCTACAAACAGTGTACATACCACCGCACTCGTACCAACCCACGAGTGCGTTACGACCAGCCGGGACGGCCCGGTTCCGGTCGATTGGCATGACACATGACACCTCCCTGCCTTCCAACGGCCTCAGTGACGCGGCCCCCACCAGCGCAGTCTTCTGAAAAGCCCCTCCTCTGTCGTCCTCCCTCCACCCTTCCTTCTCCCTCCCCTCCGCCACGGTGCACCCCTCCATTGGCGCCACATAGCTCGCCACGGCATACACGACTCAGGTCGCGTCAACCGGATGCCGGGCTCAACAGCGGCCCTAATAGTGCCACCGCCGACCCGGGTAAAACAGGGGTCCATTTCAGAGTCACTGCCGCGATTAAGCCCAAGGACCTTAACACCACACAACACGACAGAGGGCAACACACCACAGCACAGCACAGCACAGCACAACATAACACACCACACCACAACGCAGCACAGCACACCACAACGCAACATACCACAACGCAGCATAACACAACACAATACAATGCGTTATTCGACAACGTATGAAAAGCGCATATGGTAAGTGCACCCTTTGTCTACCAACATATTTCGCGACTGCGACAGCAGTGGAAAGCCCAACAACAAACATGCAAGCTGCTTACACAGACTAGCACAAATATTCCTCCATAAGCGTATATATCCGTTTATACTTTCAGCCTTAGTGTGCTGACATGACGGAGAAAGCGACAAGCACATTGATTGACAGACAAGTAAACAGACACAGACAACCAGGTCACACACTTGTGCATATATGAGGTGTAGAGTTAGTGGCGGCAGTCGGGCTGCGAGTCCACCGACAGAGAAGACGCGGTGTGAGATGAGCCGCAGCGGAACGCAAAAGGGAAAAACTGCACTCCGCCGGCCAGCCACATGCGCATGCACGTATACACGAAGGACATACACACGCACACACATGCACACGTACACATGCACGCCAAAAGAAGACCCTCGCAGCGCAGGATCGCCGCCCACGCCTGGCGACCCTGCGCGATGGTGCGATTCTAGAGGCGAAAGGAGACGTATGTGCGTATATATGTCTTGTGTATATAGCTATGTCCATGCCGGATTCAGACCGCCTGCCGGCGGACGAGCCCGCGGCGCAGCAGCGCAGGGCCGCCCTCTTTTCCCCCCTCTCTCTATATCTCTTTCTATCTGCTTAAAGGTATCAGGAGTCCAACCCCAGTATGGCGCACACGCACAAGAACCCATCCGCCTCGAATTCCTTGGGTGTTGCCCGCACCATTAATCACCCGTCATTGTTTTGCTACCGCTGCCTCTGTCTCTGCTGCTGTTGCTGCGGCGGCGGCGGCGTGCGGGCGGCGGCAGTGCCATGAGCCCGTACAGCTCAGCGCACGCCGCGGCCGCCGTGAAACAGGACATCGTCCACGCGTGTGAGCAGCTCGAAAACGCGCACCTACCGCATAGAAAGTAAGTATTCGTTCGTGAATCCTAACAACAGCACAATACAGCGCCGCAGCTGGGCAATAGCCATCCATCGACTTCGAACATTTTTTTGATCTGAAAAATCCATCACCCTTGACATCCCCACTGACAGCGCCCTACACACACTCGCTGCATTTCCATGGCCACCGCCACTACCATTACTTTGCTGTAAACAGCCCCCCCCCAAAGCACCACTGCGACTGCCACCGCCTCCACCATAACCCGACAAAACCGTAACCCAGTGAAACATCTGTTATTTTTGTAGCCTGGTTACCTCGCTTTCCCAGGTTGGTGAATGCCAGGGCGCGAGCTTGTGCGTCGGATTGGCATTTGGGCACACATGGCCGACTGCAACGCCATATAACCCGCAAAAAAGCACTTGCAGCAAACGCATCAAAACACGATGAGTTGAAGCGGTCTCTAGGGGGGGAAATGCGTACTCCTTCCTTTACGGCATCATTCAGGATGCGTTGCTTCATAAAATGCATGGACTAGTCTGTCCGCATGGGTGCCAGTTGTATGTGCAACTGGCAATCAGAAACTCTCTCGTTCACCATTCCTCTACCCTCCTCGCACAACCCTCCTTGGTTCGAAAGACACACCAGCGGCTTCTGACCACTGCAACCGTGGCCCCGAAGCTAAAAACATTTTTTTCCTGAACCCCATCAAAAACTGACTGAATGAACACCCGGCTTCCGAGCCGTGAGCCGGCACTCGACATGGTCAAGGATTGGCTGGCGGGATATCCCCGTCATATTCCCAACCCACCCCTACCGGTCATTATAGCTGCCGGGCATTCGCGTCAGGCACTAAAACCGCCGGGTAAGGGGGGGGGTCGCTCTTGTCTCTTCCTCCTCGCCTGGTGGCTCCCCACCCGCCCCTCGTCCTGGCCCGCCGGCTGAACAGAAATCCGAAACCATTCGTATCGTGCACGTGCGAATACGCTCACGCACACACATACACACACATCCGCGCAGGCCCTGGCTTGCCCTCGGGCAACGCCGGTCCACCATGACAGACACAGGCATATTCGATGTATATACCTGCTGCTTGACATGTTCACAGTCTTTCTATGGCGTCATCATACCTTCCAGAGCAGGTGGCAGATCACGACACACGAAAGCACCTAGCATCGTGTTCAACGATGACATATATCATGGAGCCACCAGGACCATATCTTACGTATCATCAACTCGGGTATTTATCACCACCATACGAAAGCACCAAACGCGAAAACGCACACCTGAAGACAGATATACATAACGACTATCCGCAGACATCGTGACAAACAAACACAGCGCAACGCATATTATATCACATAGCCAGCCAACAACGGCGACGCATCCCAGCAACTACAAATCGTCAATTGCTTCAAGCACAGGCAAGCCGCCGTGCATGTTCGGAGATTTCCTCACCAGCAGACAATGCATGACTATCTTCTCGCACCCTTTGCAGCTCACAACACCACACACCACTTCACCACACTATTTGCGAACATCTCAATTATATGTTGAATTTGTTTTAAGCTTTGCCCCCTATCAGCACCGGTGCGCGAAGGAAGATGTACACCGCTGCGACAAGACGCAAAGCTGCTCTGTGCCACCACCGTTTTCCTTTCCCTCCTCCTTTTTCTTTTCCTTCCAATTTTTTTCCTCCTCCTCTCCCTGCACCACCGCGGCTTCATCTTCCTCTACGGGCTCTACCCCTAAAACATCCTACAGCCGCTCTGCGTCCCACCACCTGCCGAATGACATACCTAAGAAGATAGACACGGGCAGAGAGAAAGAGAAAAGACATCCAGGGATCCGGGGCCCTTCTACCCTCTCAGCGACAAGGCATACTACATGTAAGAACCCTCCCACAGGGGGTACCCCACCCATAATAACACCGCTCCAACACCCGCTACTACGCAAGCAGCAGCAGCAGCAGCAGTAGCTTTATCACCTCCTCGGCCTCACATGATTGCTACAACCGCAGCTGTACCCCACAGCAGGTACCCCAATCATACAGCCACAGCGCCAGCCGCAGCGTTACAGGTGTTTTACCGCAAGCCGGCCTCGGTCCGCAGCTCGCCTTCAAGCGCTTGGAGCCTTCGGACAACCTGACACGCAAAACAGTGCAGACGAGGATGATAAATGGACAAGAACGGAAATAATAACGTGAGGGAAGAATTAAGGGTCCACAGAGCGCAAGGTGGTGGCGCTTCTTGCATGTGCGTGTTGATACCAGGTCCGAAGAGGATGCCCAGGCCGGTCGTCATATGTGCGGTCGGGACCGCCCAGCACCTGTCCAACGTCCATATGCCATGTAACGGTTTGTACTGACATGCGAAGTGTGGGTGAAATGGCACTGGAGCGGGTGGATAAGTGGTTGATCGTGGGCAGTAGGCGGGCGGGGAGACGCCGCGTAATTGGCGCTTCCCTAACCAACAGGGCTGCACACCTACCTGTGCGAAAGTAGGACGGTCCCGAGGGACGTGGGACAGACATGCTCGTCCCAAGTGTACGAGCGCCGAGTGGGCCTCGGGCGGCCAGCTCAACAACTGCTCTCCCGAGCTCACCGCGGCCATGATCTGTCAGTATCCGTACATTGTGTGGTTTCGAAGCGGCGGTGGAAGGAAGAGAGTGGAGTGTGTGGGTCCACAAAACCGGAGACAGGGGGCCGGACGGTCCGTGGGTAAGGAAGGGTTTTAGGAAGGGAAAGATAACTCACCCCGTGGGACAGGGTGGTCCGGAATGGGGCTTAGGAAAGGAGCATTGGCATTGGGCCCCAATGCAGGCATGGATGCCACACCGCGCAGGGCCCCGAGCAACGAATGCCTTTACTTGGGCTGCACAAGCATTCCCTGTTTGCTTAGGGCTGCTTGGTGCCATCGCCACCGCCATCGACACTATCCGGACCCTTTCCCAATGACCCAGCCATCTTGTCAGCCTCAGTTGTGTCCAGTTTCCTTCCCAGCCTCATAATCTCTAGCCGCCGTTGTCCCAGTAAAAAAACTCCCAGTCCCTCCACCTCCCCGTCCACTCAGTCAGCCAAAGATTCGGTGACCGAAGCTCTCCACCGCCACCCCAGTCAGTTTTTCCCGGTTTCCGCCTCCACAGCCCACTCCAGTTGCACGAACCTGCCATTGGGTAAGTCCGTCGTACGGCCGCAGCCCCGTGACCAACTGCCACAACAGCACACCTGAGCAGGCGAGAGGCGAGTGCGGCGGGGAGGTTTGTTTGAATCGAACAAACGGGTTGCTGCAGGAAAGCATGTGTGTGCCACATGGAGAAAGCTGCGTGTACGTGTGTGTGTGTGTGTGTGTGCACGCGTGTGTGTGCGTGTGTGTGTGCGCGTGTGTGCGTGAATGCATGAATGAATGAATGAATGAATGAATGGATGAATGAATGAATGTATGTATGTGTATTTGAAAAAGTGGAATGCTGGGCCAGGAAGGAGATACACAACTGAACCACGAAAGATGTGGAAGAGCGCGTTCCTCCCGTCCAGAGGGCTTCAGAAGGCGACAAGAAGACCCTCTGACGTAAAAATTCTGTACACTCGTGTGGTGTTGACAGCTAAACTCCACAAATTCCCATCACCCTCATGACAGCTCCTTTCGAAAGCCCCTCAACCTCCAATCTGCAGCACCCACCGTACGCCCACACATCGCTGGCCTTTGACCGTTGACCGTTGTTGATCAGCTCTGGCGCCAGGTACGGCACTGTACCGTCCAGCGCGCCGCCGGCGGCCGCCGTGGAATCACCGTTCTTATCGGCATCGTCGTTACTGCCGCCGCCGCTGCCGCCAGTGCTGGTGACCGTGGCAAGGAGGTGGTGGGGTGGGCCGTTGCTGCTGTGCAGGACGCGGCTCAGTCCAAAATCGCTGATCTTCACCACGAAGCCGCGCTGGTCTTGGCGACTGCTCTTCAGTAACACGTTGCCTGGGACCACATCCGGAAGCGGAAGGGCTTTACAAAGTAAACACAACACAAGTAAAGCGTCAACTGCCCACGTGCAAAGCAGCCGGAACCTGGGAGTGAGGCAGCGTGCTTTGGGAAACAGAACTTGCGGGGGGTCATGGTTGAGCCCAGGGGTGTGCCCAAGGGGGCCAGAGGCGGCCAGGGGCCTGGTTGTATATATCGGAACGGTGCAAGTTTGAGGAGGTGGGGTAAAACACGGCATCACGGTGAACGGCACCATTTAACGTTGTTTAGGGTCGGGGTTGCAGAAGATTGACCGAGCGACTGCACGTTTGCAGTTGCGCGGACAGGCAGGCTGGCCCGCAGAGGGAAAGCAGCCGACGAAAAACAGCAGCCAGCAGCTCGTCGCTGCTGTCCTTTTACCGCCCACCCGAAAACCGAATACCCCTCCGGCCCCCCCTCACTCCGCCCGCACTCCCCTCTTCCCCTGCCTCCACCGCTTACCGGGCTTCAGGTCTGGGATGACGAGGCGAGGCATCCGCCACAGGCGTGTCGTGAACGCAATTGGGACCAAAAGAGAGGGGGGGACAGGTTGAAACCGAGGGCGGCATGTGGCACGGTTCCCAGGCGGGCGGCATGAGGGGAGCCGATGGAGGATTGGGGTGCTTTGCTTAAGAGTTCTAGGAAGTAGCACTTCCGCCAAGGAGGCCGTGACGTGAAGGAAGCCAGCTTGAGCTGTGTACGCGTGCGATGCGATTGCGCGTGCGTGTGCAAGTGTGAGCGAAGGGGGTTTCCGGGGGCACAAATAAGCCGGGGGGTGCCTGCCGGTAGATGGCTTCAACTTCAGGCTGAGTGATGTTGACAGGGGGCAGGGAACTGTAGCGGAGTTTTTGTCATTACAGGCCAACACGGATACACAGTGCGTGATACACCGCGGACCACATAAGGAGCGCGCCTCACCTCCATGAATGATGTTGTGGTGGTGCAGAAAGGCCATGCCGAGAGCCACCTCCCGTGCCGTGGTCGCTAGCGCACGTAGGGCGGCCGGTGGAGGGTAACGTCCGCCGCCGGAAAACGGCCCGTACAGGTGACCCCGGAGCGCGGCACCGTCGGCAGCGGCGGCAGCGGGTGACGCCGCCGCTTTGCTGAGCAGGTGCTGTAGCGAGCCGCGTTCGCACTCCTCCATGATCACCATAACCAATAGCTGGCCGTCGCGCGCACCAAGCAGGTTGAGCACCTGCGTGGGTGGATGGGAGCAGTTAAGCAAAGGTAAATTAATGTGACAGAGTAGGTGGGTAGATGTGGGCAAAAAAGGTCGCGTGCGCCTGTCCCGTACTTCCTCCCCAATGCCCTGGGGCCTATCGGCAACTGGACCGTTACGCATTTTCTCCCCATCCCCGCACCGAGGGGGGCGGGCCCCCCCGACTCTCGCTCCTTCCATATCCTTACCTGGGCCAAGTTCCGCGCACCCGCCATTGCCGCAGCCGCGTCGCCCTCATCGCCTGTTGCCACGGCGCTCCGCGCCAGCAACGAACCCAGGCCACCTAAGCCGACACCGCCAACACTGCCGCCGCACCCAGGGCCCCCTCCTGTCGCCATGGGCAAATTGAGTCCACGATCCGAAAACAGCCTGCCGGTGCCACTGGCGCTTCCCGGCTGTGGCGATGCATGGAGCATCCCCGAGCTCAAGGGCGAGCTGCATAGCCCGAGGCCCGCGCCCGCGCCGTTAAATCCAGGCGCCAGGTTAAAGACGGTGGCGACCTGGGAGGCGCTGACGGGCATGGGGCCGGTGCTGCCGCTGGCGGCGTGGCGGACGGCGGTGCGGCGGGCTGCGCTGCTGTTGCCGCCCACCTGGCTGTAGCTGCTGTTGAAGGCCGGAGCCGGACTGGGACTTCGATTAGAGGTATCTGGAGAAGGCCAACGCCCCTCAAGGAAAATTTGACCAGTGTTGTTGTTGCTAGCCACCAAGCGGGCAGCGATGCCGCCACCGGCGCCGCCGCCGCCAGTGTCTCCGTTGATGGCGGCCCCAGCCACAGCCCCGGCGGCAGTGGCGGTGGCAACCATTGATGTTGTGTTGAAACAGGAATAAGGTGCCTGCCGGAAGGGCGACGTGCAAGCTGGCACTTCAACCCCGGACGGTGCCAAATGCGCCTCTAAAGCGCCTACTATCGCCCCCGCCGCGGTACCACGTGGCGTGCCGGGGGTTGAGCCGCCTACCGTACAACGACCACCGCCACCGCCGTCGCCGTTGCCACCGCCGCCGCAACCGCATGCAGCGGCCCCCAGCTGCGATACGGCTTGCATTGATGCTGAGTGCGCTGTTAGGAGCCGCATAGCACCGGTTTGAGGTGCGACATAGTGCGATGGAATCGCCGTCGCCGCCGTCGCAACCTGCTGTGACTTGTGCGCTGATGTGCTGCTGGTAGCCGCCGCCGCCGCAGTAGCTGATCCTGCTCTTCCTCCTGCATCCAATGCTGCACCCCCCTGCTGTTGTTGTTGTTGCTGCTGCTGCTGCTGCTGCTGTTGCTGCACCTCCTGCTGCTGCTGTTGTTGTTGTTGCTGCTGCTGCTGCTGGGAAAATTGCTGCTGTTGCTGCGCACCCTCCTCTTCCTCCTTCCCCTTGGAATCCCGCTGATGCACCTCTTCCTGCTGTACCTCCTGCTGTACCTCCTCCTGCCGATGATGCTGGAAACCTGATTGCTGAGGCAGCTGTGGGGCTTGCGGGATCTGTAACAACGGCTGTCGCACCGCCGGCACACCGCGTTGGGGAGGCGGGGAAAGCGGCCGCGCGTAGCGCGGCGGCGTGGGGGGCTGTTCACAGGGCCCTACAGTGCACGGCTCTTCACAGGCTACCTCCTCGGACTCGTTACCGGTTCCCGCCAAGCCTCTGCCCAATGGTGGTGTCGAGCTCACCACATCAGCTGGGCATGAGCTGGGCGCCACGTCGACGGTGCCCGTACCAGGCTGGGAAACCCCCAGCGAAGAAGACGCGGGTGGATTCAGCGGCGGCGCCAGTCCTTGAGAGATCTGGGCACCCGGAAGAAACCCCTGCTCCAGGACAGCACCCACCGGCAAGCCAAGCGTTGGCAGCTGCGGCAGATCGTCGGCAAACGACCCGTGGGTCGCCTGTGGCGTGATGTGGGTTGTACCGCAACCGGCGTGGTTTCCTGGGCCGCGAAGGCTGCTCGCCTGCGTTGAGGCCGGGTGGTGGTGGTGGTGGTGATGCGGGTCTTTCGGGCCCTGCGGCTGGGGAGTCGGCGGCTGGGGGTGTGCGCCATGGGGCGGTGGTGACGGCAGCAGCGGCGGCGAAGACGCCATGCTGTCAGTACATGGCGGCCTGGCCAGCATCTTTTCACCAGTCGACGCTGCGGCTGATTCACGCTCGTCAAGCTGCGCGTCTGCCCCGTCATTCCTCGGTCCCGTCGTTCCAGCCGTAAGCGCCGGATAGACTGAGCTCGCCCATGCCGGCACCACCGCGGCCCCTGCCGCCGCCGCCGCCGCCGACCCTGCCGCCGGTGGCAGCGGAGGGCTATCGGCCTGGGTGCTCATAGGTACGGCTCCTTGCGGTGTTATCCATGGCTCCATGGAGGCGGGCGGTAGACTCCGCTGCGTTGCGGCTGAGGCTGTGGCCGTGGAAGTGCCGACCGCACCAGCGAGGGCCGCCGCTGCCTCCGTTGCAACGCCGGTGGTGCTGCCCTGACCAGGGGAGTAAACGCTGCAGGGTACGTCCAGACTGACTTGCGGCGCCGTCGCCAGCGCGGTGATCCCGTACGGCCCCGTGTAGCTGGATACGCTGGGGGCGGGACTAGGCGAGGCGCTTAATAACATACTGGGGCTTTGCCCTAGCCAGCCGGACGCCGCGGACTGCAGCAGCATAGCCGCCGGTGCCATGGGGCTGTCACCTGTGAAACCACCGCCACCGCCAACTAAGGCAGTGAATGGGCTGGCGGCGCCGCCACTTGCGCTTAGTGACCGTACGGCTTGAAGCGTGTCCGTGGTAATGCGCCAGACGTTGCAGCCAAACGTCTGAACAATGTTGGGGTGGCAGGACAGTGCCTTGCAGAGGAAGACCTCCGTTAGCTGTGAGCTCAGGTTCTCCGTACTGGCTGTCAACATCATCTTGACGGCACAGGTGCAGCCGTGCCACAGGCCTGCAAAGGAGACGCGTGCAGATACGGCACATCAGGCATGACAGCCAGTACACACATATTCCCGCCAGTTTCCGCCCGCGGCGCAGATCATAATAAGGAGCACATCCGCACCCGCACTCGCCCATGCAAGATCATATGATCATTGCCCCGGATGTCATCACGCCGAGGACTTGCTTCTTGCGTTATGGGTCAAGGAGTCCCGGGATAGACAAAACTAGGAAAAGTAAAAAAACATGGCACACACCCAGCTGTGAGTCAACCCCGAGCCCCCCGTCCCTATCGCCGCGGCCTTCAAGCGCTTGCCAAGCCTAGCCAAAGTCCCCGGCGCTTTCCCTTGGAACGCTTCACAAGGCACAGCCAACGAAACCGCCCTGACGGACGGCCATTGAACCCGTAGCAGTCACATAACCCTTTGCGCAAAGGAATAGCTATCCCCTGGTGTCGGCCCGACGTTTCCAGTCCCTGGTGTGCACCCTGCACAAGTACCTCTGTAAACGACGCCGTAAGCGCCCTGCGCAATGCGGCTCGTGGGTGAGACATGCATTGCCGCCGCCCAGAGGTCCAGGGCGGGTGCCTGCATGCTCATCTCCAGAGCTGTCTGCTCCTGCAGCAGGCCTGTCCAGGTACGGTGGGTGCGGCAGTGATGGTGGTGGTGGGGTTTAATAAGGTGTAAAGCAAATTCATACCGGATAGTGCAGGAGGGGGCCCACCACGAGGAAGCAAACGAACCCAAAAGTTGGGGCCGCTGGGGAATTACACGCAAGAGAAAAAGGTAAACTGGCCAAATTCAAAGCACCAGGGCTTAGTGAGGGTTGAGCAAAAGGAAACCGCCGGCTCACACGAAATTTAACAGGTCCGGCACAACAAGCTCCAGGACACCAACCTCATGACAATCAACATGTAAAAGCCCGAAGTGTGCGACGCGCGTTTACCTGTCCGCGGAGCAGTGACATCGAAGAGGGAGCTCGTCTCAAACGGGAGGCTCAGGACGCTACCGGCACCGGACACAGATACGCGCGACGGAGCGGCGAGGCCCACACTGCTGCGCTGAGGCGACTGTGGCGGCTGCGCGTACAACGCGGCAACCGTGGCGTTCGTAGTCGTACCGCACTGGAAGCTGGTTTGTCGCGGCGACAGGGTGCCGGAGATTTGCCCTGACATGAGCGCGCTCCGGCCGTCTGTAAGGAGACCGTGGGGATCTAAGAACCCGTAGCCCAAGCCAGCATTGCCGTACACATTGCCGTACCCGCAAGACAGCGGGCCGCTTATAGACTGCTGAGCTCCGGACGCTACATGGCTGCCGGCGATTGCTGAAACGAAGGGTGACGCGTCCGCTGCACTGCAGGCAGCTGCGGCAGCCGCCGCAGCCGCGGCAGTGGTGGCGGCGTCCAGCGACGGGGACAGCCCGGTCACGCCGCCCCGCGGTGTCAGGCTCGTAAACGATCCGGACGCCTCTGGCATGATGGGGCCCCGGCGGGGTCGCTCCTGGCGTTCTGAGACCACCGTCCGTCGCGGTTGTTGCTGAAACTCCCCTGGCCCTTGCATGGTTGACACCTGCAGCCATAGCTGCACTGAGGGCAGCGGAGCAGAGGGTTGTTCTGCAAGCCGCAAGCCGGCAGCCCGTGGAGGGTCTGGCCAGGGCGGTGGCGGGCGCGCTGCCGATGCCAGCTCTGACAGCGTCTGAAAGGAGCCCAGCCAGGGATGGCCGCCGATAGTTGTTGCTGGTGGGGGCTGCGATGGAGTCGCCACCACCGCCGCCGCCACCCCGCCTGGCGCGGATGCTGCTGCCCCTGCTTTCGCTGCTGCCACTGCCGCTGCAACCTGAGCCTGGGCAACCTGGGTCCGTACGCCCACGTTTTCCAGGACGCTTTTGCCGATCCTCTCCACTCCGCCGGTGCTGTAAGGCGATGCATACGCCACCGGGACTTCATCCGCCGTGCGGTCGCTGGGGTTCACGGCCACGGCGACGGTCGTCACGTTAGGGATCACGGGGGCCGCGGGCGGAGCTTTACGCAGAGCACGGGTAACGGGGGGTCCGAGGGGAATTGGGGATACGGGCGTGGGGCTGCCGCTGATCTTGGGAAGGTCGATGTAAGTCTCGGGCTGCGGCGAAGCCTGGCCATTTGCAATTGGCGGCGTGAGGGTCGGGGCATTGATGGCGTAGCTGCTGTGGCAGTACTGGTAGAGAGACACCACGGTGCCGGCGGCGGTGGTGTCAACCTCCAGGTTGGCGGGACTTAGTCTCTGAGAGGCCACGCTGGTGGGCTGCCCGCCAAATGTCAGTGTCGCAAACAGGCCGGGCTGGTGATCCGCCTTTGTGTCAAGGGCTTGACCATCCATGCAGGAGAGCGTGACGTCATCCTCGCGCCCGACGGGCTCTCCCCGTGAGCTGAGGATGGTACAGCTGCTGAGGACGACTTGGCGCTCGGCCGCATCGGACAACGCTACTGCTTCGCCGGACAAGCCACTGCTAGCTTGCTTGTGCGGCGGCGGCTGCAGGGCGCGCGCTTTTGGGGCTTCAGCATCGTCCGCCGGGGGGCACAGGCAGTTGAACCGAGACAGAAAGCTGACGGAAAGTCGGCGGGAGTGCGCAGAGCTGCCTTGGGCCCCGCCGTTGACGCCCTCCAAGGGCGCCATCGTGCTGACCTAAAGCATAATTGGCTGTGTGTACAGGACGCGAGGCGCAGGAAATTAAACATCGTTAGCTGGCACGCAGCTTAGAGTACAGACACGGAGCCTCATTATGAGCATAAGCCGATAACTCAAGCATGCTGCACATACCGCAGCGCCTCAGCTCCAAAGCTGGAAGTCGCCGACCATGACGAGGCCCACTACTGCCTCCAACAGAACCTAAGTCACGAATTTAACATTCAAGAAGCTCCAGGATTCCGGCACAATAATTATCTGAGCATTTGGGCCGTCCTCGGAGTCCTTGTGTGCTTGGTGGCTTGGAACAATGTCAATAGAGGGGAGCAAGATTACATATGGGATACTTATCGAAGCAGCAAAAGCGAATCCATAACTTATGAAACCCTAATAAAAAGCTACTTGTTGTACACTACCACCATCAAACACGGACATCCGAGTTACATAACTGTGTAGTACATTTTTCCAAAATGGACCTTGGGATTGGGCGCGTATGGACACGTTTGGGTTTTCCGGCATGACTTGATGACGGCGATACTACAAAACCAGCCACAGCTCTGTGCTCTTAAGTCCCCACTCCAAGTCCAAGCCCCCGCGCTGGCATTACATACCTAAGTTTGGGATAGCGAGCGCACACACGACTAATCCCAATCACCATCTAACTTCATACACGTAATTAAACGGCTAAAATAAGCAGTTTGGGCATTGTACGGGGTTCTGGCCGGTGATGGATCCGGACTGCACCATAAATGGGAGGCATTCACCTCCGAAAAATCATCGGCAGGCGAGCCCGGGCCAAGCTTGAGGAAGAAACCCTAGTTACCAATAAGCTGGCTTTCTGTGCACGTTCTCTGCACCACTATGGGACTTGGAACACGTCTTCGATTTCCAGGACCAGCGCTTAATCCTTTTTCGAAAACATTACGCCGAATTGTGCCATGCATAATCATAACCCCCTCACAAAACAAAATTCTCAGGAACGACGTCTCCATTGCCACTAGCCGCTGTGGTAGAATCTGGTAACCATTAAGCTTCCCCTGTGCTATCAAGGTGCCATTGAGACTTCAGAGAATTGGGAATCCCTGGTCCAGCCCTCACCAAGCATCTGACCAATGCTTCACTCCTTCTGGGTTTACTGATTCACGACCTGGGGGTCGTTAGAATTAAGGACTCCCTTCAGGTATGGTTGGCACAGTTGGCCTACTAGTATCCAGCTTCTGGGTAGGCTTGGACCTTTGGAGAGGACCTTAAATGAAAAGAAAGATGCAAAATGTTAACATAATTTCATAATGCAAAGTTGAGGACCATCGCCAGTCACTTTATTAATTGGCAGTGTACGTACGGCAACCAACTGCAAACGATCTTGTTGACAGCCGCCGAAAAATGTGGGCAGGGACGAGGGAACTGTACGCATGAGCTCACAACAGGTGCAGTCTCTCGCAGGGAGACTACTCTCACTTACTAGCTCATCTATTCACATATGTTCAACTTACTGCGGCATGAATGAGCAGCCAGCCCGAGCAATCGAACCAGACTCCCCCCAGAGCTGGGCCCAGGAACGATGATGACGCAGCTGAGGGGGAACAAAAGCAGGATGTGTGGGTGGAACTTTTCGGCATAGTACATGGCCTTGCTGAGACCGTGCAAAACGCGCTGCAAGCCTTCACGCCCAGCGATGACAAGGTGAAATTTAAGCAGATATTATCTAAAGAACTGGCTTCCTTGTGATGGGGTAAGGCAGCTTTGACTGTAGGCAGTATCGGCCATTACGAAGAAACGCTTGGCGCTTCGGTCTATTCACGGCTTGAAGCAAAGCCAGAACGGGATTGAGGTGCGTTAACATATGTCCTGGAGATTCGGCAATGGATTCTGATGGCTGTCATCGTTCTGCGCAGACGCTGCTGGAGCATCTAAAGGCCTTGCGGTCAGCGTCGCAGACATGGCAACGCTCCATGATATATGCATCAAAAAGGTATTTAGCGGGACGTAACTCCCTCTTGGGCCAGTCCCTGCCTCTTTATGACCCGGCTTTCCCAACGTGCGTAGTCACCAGGAGCTCATGGACCAGATTGAATCCACGACAGAAGAGCTGCACAAGACAACCGAACGCCTACGCAGCGTCGAAGCACAGCGATTGACGGCAGTGCGGGAGGCGGAGCTACTCAGGGCCCGGGCAGATCAGCAAGAGGCAGTTATCAAGGAGGCCCGAAGCAGCCTAAAGCAGAAGTAGGATAGTGGGGTACATGGCTGGGATCCACCATGCGGGTGGGTTTTGGTGGACTGCTTGCATGTACGGCTTCGTGATCTATTGGGTAGTCACAATGGCAACATGGTGACGAAATGCTTTGCTCTCTCAGCGACAGCCACACACAGAGCCAAATAGCACCTGCCGTACTCTGTCTCTCTCTCTGCAGGGAGGAGGACCTGGAAAACTTGCAGTTCTCGGTGCATGAGCTTCAATCTAGTTCCTCTAAGGCTCTGCAAGACCTGGACCGGCTACGGCAAGTTGCGGCGGATGCGGATGAAGGTGCTCGGGCTGCCACTACGGCAATGGAAGAGGCCAAGGCAGAGGCAGCGAAGGCACACAGCCTGGCTGAGCGTCACCAACAGGCAAGCGATGGGGCAGATTGTGTTGGAGGCCTAAGTTTTGAGGCGAAGGGCGTTTGACAATGTGGAGAGGTACGATTATGCTGGGCCTGACGGTATCACTTGCCTAGGGTGCAGGCGTCCCTGACCGCAATATGTAGAAGGCAGTGTAGGGAGGAGGGTGGGTGTTATCTTGGGAAGACACCTGGGAAAGGTAAAACGCAAGACTGATAAGGCTTGCCACCACAGGGAGGGCAGGTTCGCATATACATTGCACGACGACCCCAATCGTGGCTCGTCGCACGATGGGCCCCAAAGGATGGCTTGTGTGCGCTTCCTGGGTCATTGGACGACCGCTTTGCTGGCCTCCCACGCTGCACTCCAGGTGGTGGCGAAACTTACGGCGGACAACTTAGTCTTTCTTATGCAGCTGAAGAAGGCGGAAGCGGACTTGGCAGCCGCAAACCAGGAACGCGCGCAACTGCGAGTGGCGGCGGAGCAACAGCGGGGCCCCTGGTTTGACCAGGTATAGCGGTCGCTGCACGGCCATGTCGCTAAAACTCGTGGAGCTATGATCAGAAAACATGCACACCTGCTAATATTGGGGCTTTCGGTCAGTTGTGGACATAATATTGAGAAACTTATGTCAAGGAGCTACCCGCAGGTACGCGCTGGCGTCGAGGAGAAGGTTCGACAGTCACTGCAGCGCGCGGAGGAACTGGAAGCACGATTGGAGCGACGGGCAGCAGAGCATGCAGCCCAGATGGAGGTGCGTCCCAGTGTTCCCAGGCTTTTGGCCTTGCTTTGCTGGAGCGCAGCCTCAGGTTTGGCAGCGTATTGTATACTTGCGTTAGTTGTATACTTGCCAGTAATCCGTCGTCCGACTACAGCATTTGGCTGACCTAAGGAAGAATGTTCGGGCCGGGTACTGGTGCTGTACGGGATTGTACACAGGAGCGCGCATCCATGTTAACCACCGTGCAGGCTATGCGGGAGCAGCATGCAAAGCTGGAAGAACAGCTGGGCGCTGCGCGGCAGCATGTTCAGGAGCTGCAGTCAGGCCTAGCGTCTGCCGTGAAATCCAAGGAATGGTGGGGCCCCTCGGCTTTTAACTGCGCGCTGAGCGTTCGTGGTGTTTCTGTCCGCCATGCCGACTCGGCAACTCGCGTCGTATTATCTGTAAAGCCATGATGTGCCTCCTTCTAAGCCTGTCCTGCCGGTGTACTCTGTGCACACGTGTGGGAGACACTGCGACGGCGGTAAAGATGCAATCGGTCCGACAACGCCGTAGAATACAGTCCGCCAGCAACAGAGTTGTTTGGCTAAGTTGTGCTCTCAATCGCAGTTAGGCTTCACGATGCGGGATGCGTTGGTTTCGGGCTGACAATGGCAGTAGATTATTCCTGACAAGCTCCGTGTTGGGGCGATGACTACATTTAGGCGGGCGGCCTAGCAGCACCGACTGCGCAGCTTAATGTATCCTCGCGGGCCTGCTTTGGTGCTTGTCTGCCTTCCTGGCTTGGCCTGCCTGCAGCTCCGAGCGCCTCTGCGCCGCAGCGGAGTCTGCCGCAGCAGAGTTACGGAGGGAGCTTGACAACTTAGCGGCTGAGAACCGCGTGTTGCAGGAGTCCATGAGGTCAATGCGTCAAGAGTGCACAGAGCGATGGGTGAGTCCGAGCCCCATGCAGCATGCTGATGAATGCAGTGGTAAGCACGACGAATTCAACTATTGTTCATTGCGCTTTTTTAACAGGCGAATGAGCAATCGGCTCTAGGACGTGTCAACGGACTGGAGCAGCGAATAGATGAGCTACAGCAGGCCCTGTCTCAGCAGATGGCTCGGTTGGCGGCATTGCAGCGGCAGCTTGATACGCAGACAGGCATAAACCGTCAGTTAATGACGCGCAAGGAGGAGGTCGAGTGGCAGCTAATGGCTGCAATGGCGAAGGTACTCTGGGGGGATGAAATGGAACTGCGATCTTGGCGCTTAGCTGCTATGGAGCAATGCCGCTTTGCACGCGTGCCATATCTTTTGGAGATGTTGGTCTGACACAGGAATCCAGTCCCTAAAATGACTACCGGTGACTTAAGTATTATTTGTTGCAGATTGACGGAGCAGCTGACCAGCCGGTGCCACTCAACCTGCGGGTGTCTGGTCTCCTTCAAGTTGGTGGTCCCAACCAGCAACACCAGCGCAACAGCGTGGGCCCTGGACGCGATAATGGCGAGGTGGAAACGGGCACAGCACTTGAGCAGTCAGCCGCAGGTGCAGCCGCGGACTGCATCGTTTCACGCAATGCTTCCGCTGGTGTTGCCGTTGACGTGCGGCAGCTTCCGACATCGGAGGACACGTTTATAGACACCGGCGCTGCACTACACAAGGGCCCATTTCATATGCGTCCGCCATATGCTCACATGGCCGCAGCTGCACAAAGCTCAAGCATTGAGGAACGCAGAACGCTTCCTCCGGTGCTGAATTCTGCAAACAACCCGTGTCCGAGTGAAGGCATTCTGATTGCAGCTGCAGGGTCCTTAGCGACCGAAATCAGCTCGCCATCTCGAATGCACATGTTGCATAGGAGCGGGTCCATAGGGCGATCCCAGTTCTCGGTACCGACCGAACCCACCCTCGTGGTTGCGCGTGACCTATTGGCAACCACGTTGCAGACTGCACTTGACAGCCGTGCTGCAGACACAAGCTGTGCAGGCGTGCCAGCAGACTCGTACCCTCAGCAACAATGCCAATCGAAGCACAGCTCTCGAGGAGGTGTGGGCGCTTGTGGAAGTAGGGAGGTTGCCATGGAGGCGGTTGCACATTGGACTTCCCTGGAGCCTGGTTCTACTATTGTGAGCAGCCCCCCGAGCTCCGTAGCTCTGTCCACCGATCCGTGTTCAACAGAAGGAGGACTGCCCGCCCCGCGCTGTGAAACTAGCTGCCGGGAGCCTTTGGGTCCCGCGGTCACGATCCGCACCGTGTCTTCAGGCCATCGGTGTTCTCGTGACCCGCACAGTGGTGGGGATACTGAGGGCTCCGGTGTCGCACTGCGCTCTGGGCAGGCATGGGCGGCGTCCGATGGGAGAGCTGTACAGCCTCCTCCTGGAGCGTGTGCGCTGCAAGATGTGCAGGGTCAGCTTGAGCGACGGGGCAGCCTGCATGACGGCCTTGACGTGTGGGTAGCGGACATGGCCAGTTCAAGCAGCAGTGATGACAGCGCATTTTCGGTGTCCGCTGGCGTGGTTGTACAGCACGGGTCACACGTGGAGTCACGCAACATGCAGCCGCCCGCACATCAGGCGCAGCTGTACCAGCTGCAGCAGAGGCTGCAGATGCAGCTGCACTTGCAAGGCTCGTCAGCTGCGACGGAGGCAGGCGGGACGGAGCGGCAGCTGCCAAGCCAGGGTCGGGATCCGCACGTAGTCCTGCCGAAGCAAGCCATGGCATCTGATGCACAGGTTGGTACGCGTCACGGATCAGTTCTGGGAGATAAATGTGCAACGGCATCATGGGGCATTCGAACGCGCCACCCCGTGGCACGGACAGTGCAGCCGTGAGCTCCTCCCATCACACCTCTCCCACCTGCCCCATCGTGCGTGCTCCAGCACCGCGTCAAACCGCGTGCGGCTCTGCACTATTGCCTTAGCTGCTACACGCCGTGACTCAGCCGGAGATGGTCAAGCTCGCGGTACCTCCACATGCGCTGTGTGACACACGAGCCGTGCAAGCCTCATACGCGTTTGGTGCAATGGTAGATGGCGCCGCCGAGGACGACTTACATTTCTTGCGCAACGACATGGGATTGTATGCAAAATCACACTTTAACCTCACCTTGATGACGGACTTCTGCGTGCCTAGTGAAGCCGCATCGGTGTTGAGTAGGAACCCTTGTGCCTGTAGTCCTCTTTATCCAGTGTACAGCACCGAAGGTTGGTCTTGTTGCGCATATTTCTCCTAAATCTATGTGAAGTCCTGGCTTCGCCGCACGTGCTGGTGCTCACTTTGCCCATTGATAAGGCCTAAGCAGCCCCAACACTACAAGCAACCTCTGACCCTGCAGATTGCGCTTAGCGTAGCCCACGCGCGTGGCGATGATGGCGACACCATCCACATGCGCGTGCCTCCCCAGCGCGGTGGTAGTGGTGGTGCCGTAGTAATTCGTTCCGGCATTACCATGCGGAGCGCCCCAACTCACCCAGCCGGTTCTCGCAAACATACCAACAGCGCCGGGTCCGCCTCAGGGGTAAGCGGGTGCGGTGACGACCAGGACGGCCATGGGATTGGCGTATTAAGCATAACGAAGGGACAACAGGAGGCAGGGTTCCGGTCGAGTGGTTCGCCTATTCACCCTGCATTTTCTGGAAGGCTGGGCACGCGCGCGGCAGGCAGCCCCAGGCCTATTCCCCCACCAAATGCAACAACATCCGCAGCGGAAGCCTCCCAGTGGACGTCTTCGGAAAATGCACCGGCATCCTCTCCGACGGATGCTGCGCAGCCATTCCGCCAGAAACCTGCGGGCCAGGCGCCTGCAGACACAGACCCTATTCCCATGCGGGTACAGCCGGGACCGCCCTTCTATGCTACCGGCGGTCCCCTCGATAGCAATGCCGTGGCAGCTTTTCAACACTGGACGCTCTCAACCGATGGGCGTGGGCGGGACCCGGGGAACTCGCCAGCAGCAACCCAAGTGCAGCCACACACCGCGCAGCCACAACAGCTATCGGTGCTGTCCAGCCCGACGCGCTCTCTTCCCTTGTTGCGATCGCCTCGATCGCCACCCCACCCCGCCATCATCATAGTTGCGGATAGTGGCAGCGCCGGGACTGAGGTTAGCTTGGGTACCGCCAGCAGGCTGATCACAGCTGCGGTGGAGCACCCCTGTTACCTTCGACATGACAGCTCGCATGGGATGGCAACTGAGCCAGCCCCGGAGCTGAACGTCGGGAATGATCTGCTGGCTTTTGGGGCGGCTACCGCCAATAGCCCGGCGCCATCAGTGGCGCGCCAGGCTATGCGGGATGAGTATGTGGTGTTAGGGGCGGCCGAGATGTCAACAGGAGCGCCACCACGGCCTCGGGTATCCTTCCATGGACTGACACGTGACGACCAGGCGGTGACAGGGATGCTGGGTGACAGCAGCGGCATCGGAACAAGTCTCGGCCATTTGCGCTCGAGCTCCATGTCATCAAGCACTGGCTCCATCATTCATGCGGGCGGTAATGGGAATGGCACACAGCAGCCACACAAGCCGAGCAGCATGAAAAGTGTCCGGTTCTCAGACCATGAACCCGATGACGAAAGGGGGCAGACGCTGCCAAGGCAACGTGGCAGTCAAGAGCAGCAAGGAATTGGAATGTGAGTATGTTTGGTTGAAGTTTTAGCCGTGGGGAGAAATCTTCTAACTATGTGCAGAGGTAACGTGAGGAGCTTAGCTATGTACTAGAGCGCGTGCAGCAGTTATCAATCAATTGGGACGTACGCCTGGCAGGCGACGTCCGTTCATCATCTGTTTGCTTTCATGGCAGTGGTGTATTAGTTCTGTGTTATTTTTAAATTGGCTACGTACAACTTATATAACCCACAAGTTATTGCACCTGAGCTGACTCGCATAATTCCGCAGTTTCCATGAGGTTTGCTTCGATTGATCCGACCCACTAAGCAGCTGTCGACTGTGAAACAACCGCCGCGACAAGGCCGTACTTGTCGCTTTGGCGCGCGGTCTCTCCTTTATTGTAAATTACACGTAGGGAAAGGTAGAGTTCTGGCCGGTATCCATTGAGCTTGTGCGCAGCAATGTTTCAGTTTGCATTCGCAATGGTCCTGCCCGAACTCACGATGCAACTATAAGGCACTATACTGCAGTTCTGCTTTTTTTGTCGCAAGAGTGATTTGGGTCATTACGGGATGCGCAGGCGTGCGTGCGTCAGGACACCTGCAGCCCCAAGCCAAGCCACTTCAATCAGGTAGGTTAGGGGCCTTGGCATAGGAGCGACCGCCGTTGCCCTTGAGAGTGAATTGCTGGTGAAGTTTTGTAGCTTGTTGCTATAATGGGCATCCCACCTGTTTGCTCTATGCCACCTCGTAGGTCTCTGCAGCAGAGGACATCTCCGCTATCTGTGGACACCACTGAGGGGCACCGAACCGTCGCTGAGCGCCACCTGGTGCACATGATCGCCCACGCCGAAAGTGCTCAACAATACCGTTCCAGAGGACCAGTGCCCCACCCAGCTATGCCGGGAGTCTCCACATCTGTCTCTTCGGTTGCTTTCGCCGCCCTGGATGCGGCTGAGGCCACGCCATCCAAGCGCTATAGTGCGGCGGGCGTCAGCACTACGGTCGTTCCGCGTGGGTCCACCAGCTAGGGCTAGCTCATCCTGTATTCACCCTTGGTGAAGGAGGGATCCAATGGAGGAAAATGTTGCAGCATAGCGTGCCTTGCGTGACTTTCAGGAGACAGTGCTTTGCGCGTTGATGGACGCACGAATCCTGTTCGTTGGCATCCTTGAACCTGAATGTCCCTGAACCTGACCAATTTTGCATCCAATGATTCGGCGAAGCGTATATTTCTATCATGACGTCGGCTTCTCGTGGCCCTGAAGTAAAGGGCCTGTAGCCGTCCTCTCGGAAAAAGGGGGAAGAGCGTGTGTGCGTGAAGATCGTGTGCGTGAGCACCGTACGGTGCACTTGTCTGAGGAGGTCAGCACACGGCACGTCCCTCTTCAGCGAAACCTTTGTTGCCGTCATAAAAGTCCACGACTTCCGCTATAATGACGTCGTTTGCTTAGGGCCCCTTGTAACATTACGCATGATTCGGAAGTCTACAACCATCCCAATTGTCCCCTGTTGGGCAAGCTCCTTTCACAAGCCCGCCGAAAGAGGTGGGAGTCTTCTTCGTATCGTTAGCTTTACCCTATCGACCCTACATGTAGTCCGCCTCAGTTAATTCTTTTGGAGCACGGCGTTTATAGTGAGAGTGGGGCACGGCTACGGTGAGAGCGGTACCGGCTTCCCTAACCTCTTCCTAACAGGTCTCAGCAAGACATGTCGTGAGACAGATTCATCGCGTTACACATGGATCATTGGTGCAGACCAGCGAAGTCCCTAGAGACCAGTTGCACGCCAATAGACTCCTCACGACGGTGTTAATGAAAAAATCATCAGGCAATTTATAAACGCGCGTGACCCCAACTTTTGTGGCAGGCAGCGAAGCGTCCGTACCTTCGGCCTCGGTTGAAAGAAACGTTGGGCCGCAGCTTCGGCATGACTCTAGGTAAGGCCATCACGCGTATGCTTGAACCTGGCTTATCAATGCAAGTGCGCAGCTAACCAAACGTACGCGTACAGTCAGCCATAATCCGTATCTAGCCGCAAATCCAGAAAGCCACATATAAGTCATGAGGGGTAACTTGAGAGGCGCTTTGGTCCTCTTGGCAGGCAATGTACCATGCTACCGTTTTACGTGCAAGAGTTATGACTCCCAAGGCTAGACAGAAGACTCTGGTTTGTGTGAGACCATGGTTTTTACCTTCGCAGGCATTTAAAGTAACCAGATAATTAAACGATTTAAAAAGAAACTGGCGTGGCAACCCATGTTGCACGAAAGTCCGCGGCACGCGACAAACGGCAGAAGTGCAAGCGATATCAGCGGCACGAAAAATGTTGAATATCACTGCCTTCTTCGATGTACAATCTCTAAGACACAATCGCACTTCCAACGACCCGTCAGCTCACCGATATAGATCAATGTTTTCTCGCCAACGTAAATTTTTCAATGGTGCGGTGCATAGCCAAAATCAAGATTATATCTTTCACTGGCAAATGTGATTCACAGGGGCAATAGCCGCAACAGGCATTTGATGCGAAACATTTTTAATCGTACCGCCAGGGTAATGCGTGATGCGATGCCTGTATCTTGCATCATATTGTTACGGGATATATCTATAGCTCACTGCATTACACCAGCTTACAGCCCAAAGCCTTGTACTGCAGACCTTCTGATACGGCTAGACCGTCAGTCAAGCGTCCCCAACACCCAACACCCAACTTCACTGGAAGCCAGCAATGTCCCTAGCTTTTATTGTTTTCAATGCAACCTCGCATTATTTTTATCGGAGTTAAAGGTTGCTGAAGTCAAGATACTATAATACCTTTTGCGTTCGTGTTGCCGCTTAGGGCTAAGGGGGCGGCTAGCACAGGTGAGAGCATTGTCAATTAGTTTATTATACTATGCATCATCTCTTTGGGTGCAACTGGGATCTTGTTACGGCAGAATGGTTCCGTCGTTTTCCACGCTTGGTCACAGAGAGCAGGTTTCCGTGAAGATGTGCCGACCGTATGCAAAACTGCCTTACTTTAAATTGTGATCCTCCACGCTGATGGCTTAAAGACGCCATGCCTTAAAGTTGCCTCCTTTGCAAAAATTTCCAATTCGCACAGATGAGTACCAACGCGCTGGTTGAGGCCTTAAACCAACTTTCACAGCAACAGCAGCAGCAACAGCAGCAGCAAAAGCAGCTCCAACAGCACCTGCTGGAAAATGTGGAACGGCCACGGACAACCAGCGGAACACCCGCGCATGTGTTGGAAGAGAACAGCGGGGCACAGCTTCTGTTACAGCAAATGCTTTTAGGCGAAGTTGATGGCGGAGCTGCGTCGGCATCCCAGCCAGAGGAACTTCTCGCGCTGGACCAGCTTGTCCAGGCCAGCGCTGGTCCCTCTTCAAGCATTCAACAACCTACGGTTATGCAGCAGCTTGCGAGCTTGCCCACCCAGATTATGGTGACGCAGGTGTGGCACGTTTCTCTGCATAACATTCTCTCTTCTACTGGATAAGCCTTATGATGAGCGTGATTCGAACACTATTCGCAGGTTACTGATTCGATGCAGGCTGCCGGCCTCGTGAATTTTACTTTTACGCAGTCGGCGCATTCGTCCTTTGTGCTTAACACGCACCTGGACCAGACGGGTTCGACTAGCGTTGGGGTTCTTACGCAGGCGCTTCGTGTTGTCCTGGCAGCACGCAAAATTAACCAGCAGGCTGTTGCGCGGTTCGACCTTGGCTTTGTGCCTTTCCTAGTTACGGATGCTGCGGAAGGCATAGGCCTTCTCATCTACAAGTGCTCTCTTAACCAGGATAAGACCCGTGGATCGGTTTTAAAGGTGGATGTTACCAGCAACCCGCTAGTGGCTGGTATATCGTTGTTCCAGATGTTCCAAGCGGGGACACAGCCGTTGGAAGTCATCTTCACCGCCGAGGCGTCGAAGGTGGCGATGCAGGCGGTGTCTATCATGCGAATCAACTTGGCAAACAATGGGCGCGACGTGCTGCTGCTGCTCTCAACGGTGGGGGCGACTGATGGCTGAGTGCCAGCGTTACAGTTATCGCCGGTTTTTGCTTAGTCTCGTAGGTCGTATGAATTCTAAGGGGGCGGGTGTGGTGACTATGTACGTAGGCTGTATACTTGAAGTCGACCGGGTGTAGAGGTCTGGAAAACGGTTGCACGCGAGGTGCTTGGGAAAGCGTTCAAGTTGCGTGTTCTAACAGCCCGTATATAAGAGGTTCGTTGGCTGTCCAATCAGGGGCTGCAGTCACTTGAATTAGCCTGCCACTCATACGACATCATGAAGCCACCGAGCAAGAATGGACGTGACTAGCGCACAGACCTTGGTAGCGATATACCGCAAGCGATCCTGTCCTGGATGCAGTGCATCTTGCTGGACCCTGATCTTCTGGGGGGAGGGAGCTTAGCATTATTGTTGAAACAACCCGCGCTTGCACCCTTACGAATGTGGGGCCCCTTGTCTTGCCCGATGGATCTCAGGTCGACTACACAGCGGATGCATCGGGACCGAAGAACTACTTCCTCCTCAAGCTGAGCTCAATAACACCACCGCTACCCTGCTTTCAGCACCAAATTGAGGCAACAAAGCCGCCGACAGCGTTCATGGCGCCTGCGGGTGACGGTACCCTTGTCGCGCATACGCCTGGATTACCCGCTGCCGCTGGGGTGGGGGCTATTCCGCAACACAAGCAGTTACATGTGCACACGGGGTCGAGTCTGGGCCCGCCAGCCGCTGTGATTGCATCGGGCCACTTGCCGGTCGCCATGGCGCAGGCCGCAGCAACTAAATCGCAAAGCGTGACACCGGCGCCGATGGCTTACCCTCACGGCCAGGCTGGAGCAGGGGCCGCGGCGTCGACGGGACCCATGGGGCTACCTGCTGCCGCTGCTGGCAGTTCTAAGCAGCAGCGCGCGCGCAAGGCGGATTACGTCATCGTCACGGAGGACACAGCTATTAAGAACGCGGCGGGCGCAATAGCGAAGGTGCTCGGCCGTGTGTCCAATCAGGGCCAGTGCTGCCCCGTCTACACTGAGAAGAAAACGGAGTCATTTACGACAGTGATTTCTGTGGCCGTGAAGGCCATTGCCGTGGCCCGTGGCTATGTCTGCAATGAGGGCATGGGGAATGAGGTGGGCTTCCAGCCCTACCTTCGCCACCTCGATCGGCGGCTTGATCTGCTGGATTTGCACCATTATCTGTCACCGGAGAGGAAGCCCCAGGCAGCGGCGGTGGCGGCGTCTGCTGCTGCTGCTCTCCACTATCCACAGCACTCTCACCACCAGCACATGGCAGGCGGCATCATGGCGGCAGCCGCAGCGGCTGCTAAGGGACCTCACGTCGCTGCCGGGCTGCACCTGGGGCTGCATGGGCCGCTCATAACTGCAGCCGGTCTCGCGGTTGGGGGCGGGAAGGGGCAAAACCCGATGGACGCGTATGAGCTGCTGGACGAGGATGCGCTTACGGATGAGCGGTGTGAGTTGGCGTTCGATGTATTCAAGGTGCCGCAGCTGCACGAGCTCCATGATGCGGGTAACCTGCCCGTCAAGGTCACGGCGCACAGCCGGCCTAACGTGGTGTCCAACATTATCTCTAAGCTGGTCAGTGAGCGCAGCGGCGCGGTGCTGATCACTGCCGGCGGCAAGGCCATGCACGTGGCCATGACCGCCGTAGTTTCGGCGCGCGCGCGCCTGAAGGCGAAGGGCATTGATATCATTCTGCTGCCCAAGTTTGTGACAGTGGACACGACGAGCACGCTTGGGTGGGAGTCCGTGTTCCTACGGTTCACCATTGTGCGCTGGGCACCCGTGTCGCCACCTATGGCAGCGGCCACGGCGTCACAGCTTCATTCAGCGGACACGATGGTTATGGCAGGAGCACACTACCTGCTACCTCAGATGGGTTGAACTTCTGGTCGCGGGAGGGCCAACTGCTGCGTAGTATGGATAGGGTGAGCTGATGCGTATGGTATGATATACCTGCTGCGAAGGGTCGCTAAGCTGCAACGTATGGCTCGTGCATTTTTACGTACGGTTCCAGGTGCTAAGCTCGGGTGTAAGTTGTCTGCCTGCTAGCAATGTTGTTAATCTGATGTGGGGGTATGCGGTTTGATTTACTGCTTGCAGGTTACAGGTTGAGTGTCCTCTGGGGGGCTGGAGGGGCCCCAGCTGAGCCAGCTGTGTAGTGTTTAGGTGCACTATGAGTGTTTGGGCACTGCGGTGGGTATGTGTTGGATTATCCGGGCTGCACAAGGGTTGCTGGAAGCGATATTGGTGATGTAGCTGCCATACGCTAGGGGAGGGGATTAAGGTATAGAACGGTATGCGCTATCCAGATGTGGGCACACTACGTAGCGTTATGAACAGAATTTGACAGACTGGAGGGGTCATGTCTGTATTCATCATGCGGACCGCGCTGATGAGGCACACAAACTGTACGGACTTGGAACTATTGTGTCTTAAAAGGGAAGGGTAACATTTGGCCTGGGGGTTGTAGGGAAGCATCTATAGGCAGGGCGAGTAAATGCGCAAGTACCCTATGTCTGGGCTCTTTTAGGAGCTTGGATGAAACGTGAGACGAAAGCTGGTTGCCATATGTGGCTGGCGCCGTGCAGCTTAGGGCTGGCAGGTTTGATTGCTGCGTGTTACCTGTCACCGTCAAGTCATCGCGGTTGAGTCGCTGGGCTGACGCTGTGAAGCTCCGAGAGGGCGGTGTGTGATGTCGCTCTGTCTTCATCCACTCCTGGAGCAGCGCACACTGTCCGAAACGCTGAGGTGCGTCGGGGACTCGGACCATGTTTCCCAGTGGCGTGTTGGAGCTGAGCGTTGTGGACCAATAGGGCCGGCAGCGCGGCCGCGTAGCAAACCTCTACGCCTTGCAGCTGTTCGCGAAGCAAATTATTAATGAGCTGGTCATTCTGTGCGACCTGCTTTCTAGTGCGGGACCTTGTTTCCCTTTTCCTTTCTATGTTCGGATTCATGCTGCCAGTTTGCTGGAGGTGTGTTAGGCTTGGGGCAGGGGCCCCGTAGTATCCCGTCCCGCTTTTGTCGTGACGGCTTGGTAGATGGTACGGCGGCCTCTCGCGGGTGTACTGGGCGGCAAGAAGCGCTTGGCTTCCATATCTGCAGCTAACCCCAGCCGAGTGGTTTGCCAGGGTGCCCAAAAAGCATCTAAACTTATGTTCCTGGCGAGGTCCGCGATTGAAGCTATTAGATATTTTCACGAATCGTGTAAGGTTTTTGCATGTGTGCTTTGCTGCGCTCGCGTTTGCATCCGCTTACTGTACTTATGCTATGACCGTTTTATAAACCGTTTATTCGCCTTGCACGGCACGCACCCAGCTTGCATGGAGGTGCGTCTGGCAATGTTAATGCTGTGGAAGTTAATTCTTGGATGTTCGCGCGTTGTCTCGCTGGAGTATCGACTATGGTATCATGAGAATCACTCAGGTATGTAGAGCGGTGTCATGCGCAGCTATCTGCTTCGTCTAGAGCATGGCTGTAGAAAATCGTGTGTGGGGTGTGTGGGATGCCAAACAATGCATAGTTCTCCTGGGGTGGAGATGTGGGTGTTTCTTGACTTGAACCGTTTCTAGTTGCACTTTCATCGCGCGATGGATTGTGCTGCTGTGTGCTAATGTGTGCTGTGTAACAAAAGTGGAAAAGGCTTTCGAGCTGCAATGTTTAGATGGCTTCATTGGCATCCTCGGATGTATCGCAAGTGGACCCTACCGATCACTACTTCAATGTCGTTGGCTGCATGGACAAGCCGCTTTATAAGTCACATGGGGGCTCTGGCCGAACACGCCAGTCGGGAATTACGGTCTTGTGCGTTATCGCGTTCGGGTTGTCTGGCTGTTCCTGGAGGTTTCGGCCCGGCCCACGGGACATGAACGCGCGACGCGGTCGAGGGCGTGAGGGAGGATCGGACTAAAGGGCATTTGGGAGCACAGCCATCTATAAAGGCGCAAGTTGGCGAATGCCTTGCCTACATTAGGTGGTAGTTGCTTCAGCTATACTTAATGCTGTTCCTGTGGGATGATTTCTGCAATAATTTTGAGTGCTTTGGCAGCCTGTAGTCACTACTGGTGCGTCTATATGTTGTCATGTCTATCTGTGCATTTTGTGTAAGGCCCTGACTACCTCCTGTCGTGGGGTATACCGCCCAATCCACGGGCACACGACGCAGGCGAAGGATAATTCTGTCATGATCCTCGCGTGACCGTCACGTCGGGTACTGTGGTGTAGGTTGGCTACGCAGGAAAGGAGTTTAGCTGTGTATAAAAAGAGCCTGGAATTCGGCAGCCCTCTGTTGCGCCTATGCCGGCTCAACGCATGAAGGCCATGGAGTGTAACACCCGCTTGCAGGAGGTCGTATGGATTTTGAAGGACGGCGTGTGCTAATGCTTGGCCCACCCATTACAAGGCTCGGCTAACTGTGTGTTCGCCCATCTCTTTTCTCGATCCAAATTAACATTTTTGGCACCACAGCCTTATCGGTTTGGCCCCGGATGCCGACTCGAACCTCTTTCTGGAAATGAACAGCTAAAGTGAATGATGGGCGTGGTGTGAATGTGTAATGATCTTGTCGCCCCAAGAAAGCGGTCCTCTTGTGCTGCTGGCCGTCGAGGTGTAATGATCTCATGGACGAGATCAGGCGCCATGTAATTCCCTGTCCTGCTAGCTCTGTTTCCCTCCAGGAAGATTGTGCTGAAGCCACCTTGGCGACAAGGCACTTCCCATGCTACTCATCCTATGTCTTCCGGGGCATCGCAGCTGCTGGGCTTTTCCGGACACCTTGTAGGGGCTCGCTCCTTCAGGGCTTCAGTCGCCTCCGACGAAATTCACTCAGGTTGCATGATGGCAGTGGCATTCAAGTGGCGGTTCAGGAGGCACTGCTGCTGCGCCTGCCGTGTTAGGTGTCGCAGCCGCCGGTTCGCGGCTGGGGGCCCTTCTGGGAGTCCTGCGCCAGCAGACGGATAGTTGCTGCTGCACTGACATGGCGTCATTGGCAGGTCACGTAATTTGACATACGCTATTATGCACATGGGAAGATCTTCGGACTTGCGCTCGTCCCCAGACACGTAGGGACCCGTAACTCGACTCACTGCTCTTCCAAGCTTGTTTGTCCAAGCGGGCCCTCATCCTACGGAACTGGCAAACCTGGCCCAACCCCCTGTTGTAGCCCACCCCTGAAATGAAAGTACCATGGGTCGAAAGTGCCGGAAAGGCGACCGTGCTGGGTCCGGCTCACACCGGTCATAAACCCAGATCCGTGTTACGGACCTCTCTTTTTTCCTACACAGGTAGGGAAGCACGCTGGGTCCGAAGGAACACCACCTCCCCCGCGCGGAGAGACGGACGCGCCTCCTGCCTCCTGACGCCGCTACTAATCAGCTTTTTAACATCTTCAGTGCAGGCTCTCCTCTCCTCCTACAGCGGCCGTGCTGAAGGACAGATCCCGGGCAGTCTGTAAGCGGTCCAAGTCAACCTCCACCCCACACCCACCACCACAACACGGCCAGGAGCAGCTGTAGCCAAGACAAAACATCGAATCTCGCTGCAAAGCATCATGAATCCTCCTGTCTCGTGAACATCTCCCGCGCGGTTAAGAAAGGACGCCAACACAAAATGCTGATGATGCGAGACTGCTGCCGCTGCTGCATTCCGTGCCTCGGATCTCCCAAGATACACAAATACGGACCTTGCTAGCCCACGCGGGCGGGTTTGCGCAGTGGGGGCCGGCGGCCGCCCATCCCTACACATACAGACATACATCCGCACACCCGCACGCACAGAATACACATCCGCACACACCTACCACCCAATCCCCTGCCGTGCTCCACCCTCTCCCCCCCCACACACACACACGACCTGCGTTGCCAGTAACCCGTCCCCTCACATTCCCTTTCCCCCCCATGGCCACCGTCGAGAGCCCTGTAAGCCTGTCACCCAGTTATTATTCTCGAACCTTACAACATGGGTAGTCTCTGCGCGAAGACTCGCTAACCCCCACGCACCCACCCGCACCTAGCAAGGGTTACGACATCATCGGCACCGGCGCCCGGCAGGTGGGACACAGCGTTGTACGTCTGGCGCCAGGCGCCGCCGCCGCCGCGGCAACCGCTGCCGCCTCCTCCCCACCGCCGAGCGCCGCCGCCACCGCCTCGTCGTGCGTTTGCTCGCTCCATTCCTTGAAGCAGTCGTCGTGCTGCACATGTAGACAGCCTAACAGAACCATGGGTCCGTGCTCGTCGTCTTTGGTTCGTGCCTTGTAGATGGCGATGGGGTCCTTGCACACACCGCAAGGTGCCGTGGCTGCGCCCCCGGCAATGCCTGGGTGACTGGCCTCCCGGAGAGCCGCTGCCAGCTTGTTCCTGCTCGGGGTTGTTCAGGAGGTTGGCGATGGTGGGTTTGGTTTGGTGGCAACGTGCTTTAGCGTCGCAGAGCTGTTGTTGGGTCGGTTGTCGGCCCTCCCTGACTGCGTAAAGGGCCTTGCCGACGAAGAAGAGCGTGGGAAAACGGGAAAACCGCAGGCACGTTGGGTTGGGTGATTTGGGAGGATGGGATCCCCCCCACCCCGGTACTTTTGGAAGGCTGGGAGGAGCACGTGCATGTCAGCGTATCAGTCCTAAAAATCAGCAAACTTACTTAACCACTTTCGATGACAGGCCGGCACACGCATTACAATATAGCTTCCGCCGGTGGATTTGCCTCCGCCGCGTTTAGCTTTACTTTCTACCTCTACGGCTTCGCTTGCTTTCTTTATGACACTCCTTTATTTCATCTTGGCAGCTATAGGTAGTCGTTTCATTGCTCTTTCTTTGGACTCGGCAGCTACTTTTTCATTAGGGTTAGCCTACGTTGCCGCCATGACTGCAAACCAAGGGGTCGCTACGGGTCAGACAACACTTTCTCCTGCACACATTGTTGGTCTAATCTAACCCGGGGGTATCCGTCCGTCTAAAGTATTTCCTTTCCGTCAATCGTCTGCGCTTCCTCGTGCCGCCTTGGTGCCATCACCACTACTTTCCCACCGCCATCACCATCGCGACACACGGAGCCAGAAGGGAGCGACACATAAACTCAAACCCAGGCTAAACACGCTTACACACACATAATAGTCGGCAAGTCTATAATAGAGTTCGAATCCCGGCGGCGGCCGTATCTAACTCCACCAAGGATGTGGTTCGGATCCCACCGCTGGTCCCCCGCCCCCCCCCCCCGGGTGAAACAAATCGCCGTGACGAATGCCGAGATGAGATAGACACTGGGTTCCTCCAGCGCGCTGGGCGGCTGGAGGGGGAGCTCTCACCATCAAGATCTATCTACACACTGCCGCAGAGCAGTGGCATAGGTCTGGATCAGAGGCTGTATATACCAGATGGTGGTTGGATAACGAAACCGGGCGGCGGCGGCGGCAGAATTCGCAAGGATAGGGTGGCGCGATTGGCGCACCGGTATGAGTGCTTTGGTACGTCGCGCAGCTGTAGAGAAAGCGCTCGGTGGAATGGGGGTTACTGGGCATCTGAGCTGGTTATGTATGTAGCTGGCTAGAGGATTCGAACAGGTGACGGCGCCTTGCGCTGATAAGGGGAAAACGGTTGAGAAGGATTCTGACCAGTATAACGCCCCTCCAATGACGGAGTGCTTCTGCGGCCCCTCGTTCCCGTTGGGGTAGGGGCAGGTGCCCCTGGCCAGCGTCGATCCCGGATCGATATGTAAGAAAATTACAGACACACATACACATACATACACATACACACAAACCAACAGCCCGGTCAACCCGCTGTTTCCTCACCCTCTCTCCCGCCGGTCCCCACCCCGCGCACATCCTCACTCCTACTGTGCCGGTGCAGGTCGCATCTCAACGGCCGTATCCTGCGCGCGCGGGCGCCTTCTCCGCCCCCCACCCCCAACTCTCTGGCTGCAACTCACTTTCTGGCTGCAACTGCCAACCGCCCACCTGTACGACAGCGCCTCAGCTGGGTCATCCATCTGCAGCTCCGCGAGGTTGGCCAAGTTGATGAGCACCTGGATGACCTTGTCGCGGTCCTCCATTAGTTCGAATATCTCCATGGCCTGAGATGTGGGTGAATGAGAGATGTGTACGTGTGTAGGTATGTGCGTGTGCGGGGAAGCCGGGAGACGAACCACAAACGAGTGAAGCTGATGCCATGTGTGTGTGGGGGTGGGGGTGGGGTGGGGGGGTGGGATGCGTGTGTCTGGGGGTGGTATCACATCACACGATGCAAATAAAGGGTCAACCACCGACAAAAAGGAGCGATGTGGAGCAAAACAAAGCACGTAGACATACGTATAAACACCCGGGGTACGTACATATACGTACAAATACACATCCTCGAGAAACTTACGGCGGCTCCCCCGGTTGCCGCCCAACCTAGCCGCCGCCGTTCAATCTCAATTTCATGCCCTCCCCCCTTTCCCCCCCGCACACGCAGGTTGGTTCCTCCCTCGCTGCCGCGAGCGAAACCGCCAACTCCCCCACCTCGCCACACATACATACATACACACACATACACACACATACACACACACTTTCCCTCTCGCACACACGCTATCAAGACACAGTCAGTTGACCCTTTTTAAATTCTCCTACCTTGCAGATAAACACTTTCCCAAACCCCCTACCCGCTTTCCTTCCCCCCCGCATCCCTTCCCCCCTTTCCTAACCACCCACCTGCTCGTACGCCTGCTTCGCTTGTTCGAACCGCTTGGTGGCGAACAGGGCTGCTGCCATATTGACCATAGCTGCTGCCGCCTGCATCATGCCCGTGGCCATGGCCGCCCGGTCGCCGGTCTCAGCCGCCTTGGCGACCTGGAGGGCACATAGGGGGCGGGGGGACAAGAGGAGGAGGTGCACGGCGGGGTGTTTAATGAAACGGCGGGGCGGTGAATGACCGGAAAACAGTCGTCCAAGTGGTTCCAACAACAACAGGGTAACAGCTATAAAAGCTGAAAACCGGCTACTTGGGAGCTTTGCATGCAATGCCGCCACGTCCACCCCCCTCGCTGCTGCAGGGGCCCCACAGATATAACGCATAACACATATATGTAAACATATATGTAAAATATATACATATATGAATACACACATATATATATGTAAAATATATACATATATAAATATACACACATACACCCATGCACACACGTATCCCCGGCGGCTCCTACCTCATCCTCCCGCAGCTTCACGGCGATCTGCAGACACGTAAGGCCCTCCTCGGGGTCCACCGCCATCACAACATTGCCCAACGCCACCAACACCTCGCTCTGCGCGGCACTCCCGACGGGGCGACAGGGGGGAAAGGGAAATATCAATTATTTATGGCGATCTGCACCAGCTGTGCTGCGCAGCCCCTGACGCACCTGACCCGCCCGGTCGCAGCAGAGCAAAGGACTGGGCAGAACAGCGATTGCCGTACACGGCACCTTCTGCACCCCCGTACGTCCGCCATCGTTTCTACGCCGCAAAACCTAGTTTTGCTCATGTGCCTTACGCAGGTCATGTGCCAGGTGTGCCGGGGTGGGGGACGGTTGTAACGTTTCCATTCCTCCCCTCTCCTCCCCAACCTGTGCCCCCCCCCACCCAGCCTCCACTCCCCTCTCCCCCGCCCCCACCTGCATTCCCGCGCTCCCGGCCGCCTGGGCCACCACCAGCGCGTCCTTGAGCACCTCAGCGGCCTGAAGCGGGACGGGGGAAAGGGACGGACGGGGGAGGAGTAATAGGGAGGAATCGCACGATGCAAAAGTCGTTTACACGACTGTGGAGTTGAAAAAGGGGAGGAGGAAAGAAGTGGGAGGAGCAGGGGAGGAGGACAACTAAGGGGTTCAGGGAAACAGAGGGCCCTCAACAAGGGTGCAACCTCTCCGGGGAACGCGAACTAGAGCGCCGATGAGGGTGTGGGCTTTTAGGGTTGCGCATCCCGCAATATCATGCGCAGGTCGTACGCGGGGTAAAAAAACGCCCACCCACTGACCCACTGCCTGCCCCTCCCCATCTATCCACGTCTGCAAAAACACGCCCACCTACAGCATCATATCCAACACACCCGCACCCCAGAATCGTAGGGTTAGGACTCCGCACACACACGGGCAAAAAAGCTAGGCGCGCGTCGATCCTCCATCTCTCTCTCTCTCTCTCTCTCTCTCTCTCTCTCTCTCTCTCCCCCCTTTTCCAACCCGGCCCCTACTTTCCCCGCATCCTTTCCCCCTCACAACCCTAAGTTTTCCCCACCTTTTCCAAAACCAGTCCCCCCTTTCCGCCACCGCTCGTCACCCCAATCCCCCCCTGTCCGATGTCCGACCCCCCCCCCCCGTACCGACCTGGGTCAGCTGCCCGGCGACCTTGCGCAGGTTGCCCAGCCCCACCGAGTTGTCCACCTGCGCGGCGGTGTTCCCAGCAGCCTTGGCCTCGTCAATGCCAGCCTGGAAGGCGTCCGCAGCGGCGCCAAAGCTGCCCAGCTTGGTGTGTGTGTGCCCCAGCCATTTGTGCAGCTCCAGAACCAGGTCGTTGCGTTTCTGTTCGCGTGCGGCCGTCTGCAGCGACTGGAAGGCGGCCAAAGCTGTGGAGAGCTTGCCTAGGGGAGCAAGGGGGGGTGCAGCAAGTGAGTTGTGTAGGGGTGGTTGGGCGGAAGAGTGGGAGCGTTCCTTGTGCGCCTCGGGTGGGGTAGGGGGTGGGGTAGGGGGTGGGGGAAACATCTCTAAAGCCAAAGAAGCAAACACCGATACTCCGAAAGCGCGAAAGGGGTGTGTGCGTCTATGTGTGTTATCTATGTGTGTGTGTGTGTGTCTGAGTGTATTACCGGGACTGCTGCTGTTGCTTCTGCTTTCTTATTGCGGCGTAAATTCGGCCCTCAGTTTCCCTTTGCTGTCCTCCGTCGCCCCCTCCAGGTCACGTTCCGCTCCCGTTCCCTAGCGATCTGGGCCACACAGTCATCATCGTCGTCGCCAAAGCTTCCTTCACTCCCCTCCCCGACCGACGGACCCGCGGGTCAGTGCTCCCGTGTGCCCCTCCATCCCCTCTCGCCTGTACTGTCCAACCCAACAAGCAGCTGCCCTTGCCCATTCCTCCCCGCATTCCTTGCCTGCCACATCCCGTTTCCTCCTCCCGTTCCCTCACCTCCAAGGAAGTGCATCACCGCCTCCTCAAACGCGCCATCCAATGTGCCCGCTCCCTTCTCAGCTGCCTGCCGAAGGACCTCCACGAGGGCTCCCTGCAGGCCGCCAGAGGAGGAGCTGGCGGCGGCGGCGGAGCTGCCGCCTCCGCCGCCGCCCCCGCCTCCGCTAGCGTCGCCGCTGCTGCTGGTGCCGGCCGCAGGGCCGTCAAGATCAGCGGAGGTGGCGGCAGCGGCTTCTGGCTTCTCCGTTGGGGAACTTGCTTGCTTTTCATCGGGGCTTGTGGGCGCACTGGTGGAGTTGGTAGTGGAAGTGGAAGCGGTGTCAGGCTTGCCGCCGCCCGCCTTGGAGCAGTTGGGCTTGTGTTCGGTCCAGTGCTTCTTCTGGCAGACGACGGAACAATAGTACACGGCCTTGCATTGGCCGCAGCGCTGCGGCAAGCCGCCGCGGTTAAGAGGTTTCTGACAGCAGGCACATGCCTTGAGCCCCGCTGCGGCCGCAGCGGACTTCGCTCCTGCCGCAGAGGTCTCAGTGCTAGAGGCAGAGGAAGTGGTGTCAGAAGCGGCCGGCGCCGCGGCGCTGGAATCTTCGGCATCAGCATCGGGGGTGTCCGCGGGCGTGGCTGTGGCCGGGGGAGGCGGCGAGGTCTTGCTGCCCGGTGACTTTCGGGTGGGAAGGGATGGCCCGCCGCGTGGCTTTGGAGGGGTCGGTGTTTTTCGGACGGGGACTCCGGTGCCGCGGCCGCCTTTTGGTGCTGGTTTCGCAGCTCCGCCCGTTAGCAGGGCCTGCATGGAGATGGGCGCAGCCTCCGCCTCCGGCTCCGTTTCTGGCTCCGGCGCGAGGACATACTTATAAATCACGTAACCCGCACCCGCTGCCAACGCCACAGTTGATGCAACTGCCGCCGCCTTGTAGAGCCATGGTGAGCTATCGCTGCTGGTCATCTGTAAAATATCGACTGTGTGGCAAGAAGCTTATGTAATCCTATTTCTATTTCACGAAACTTTGCCCCGAACGTGAAACAATGCAAGGGGAAGCGTGTGTGTGTGATCAAGACACGGGGCCCGTGCCGACACGGAGGTAACGGTACAGAATAGTACTTAAGCAGATCTTGGAAGACTGTGCCATGATTCGGTCACGCATCTGATGCTCTCGACTTCTGTCGATTTGCCAACAGACGTACGACAGGTCACGGCGCAAATGCCTATCACAGAAAGCTGGTGAATATTATTTACCCCCAGTCGTAAGACAGGAATATGTGTATATCTAAGCATTAACCTTACAGCGCAGCTGTTCGTTTTATGGTAAAAGCGTTTCAACCATCAACTGGTTCATCCATGGCGCTCCTTTTCGCTGGTGCTTTGCGTGCCACCCGAAGTGGAAAATGCTCATGGCTGTTGTCGATGTATCCACGGTTCTCCTCAGCGGCGGAAGCATCGCCATCGGAAGAGTCAGGGAAAGGAGCACAGCTGCGCGACTTTCGTGCGCAGGTTCAGCAATTTGCACAGCAAGCCGTAGCTCCACATGCTGAGGCTATCGATCGCGATAACAATTTTCCGTCAAGCGTTAACCTTTGGCGTGAAATGGGCACCTTCGGCTTACTCGGTGGGTTGGCGCGGGAAGTCCGGATGCGGATAGATGCTTTACTAAACTTTAAGCGTTCTTGAACCGCTGTGCGCAGCCCAAAAATGAGCATACGAACGGCGAAACTAGTTCAACGCTCGACTTTTTTCTGCGTCAGCTATGAAAGCACATGACGCAAGCCCAAAGCTCCTTGAAGACCCGAAACTTGAAAAGCCAGCGCACCTATCCACAGAAGCAAGTATATATCCTTTCAACTCCACCACTTGTTGCGTTCTTGAGCTCCACAGGCATAACCGCGCCAGTGGAGTACGGCGGTTTGGGATTGGGTTATTCCGAGCACTGCATCGCGATGGAGGTACGTAAGTGGCATCCCTATCCGGATGTGAACCTTCATATATTATTGCAGGTCATCGTTCCATAAGCGGAGCTCCGTTAGAACCCTAGTTTCTTGCTCCTCCCAATTTCTTCCTGGTCCAAACAGCTACCTCGCGCGACAGAGGCGCGGTTTGATCATGGCTGACCAGCAATCCTGCGCTGGCTAGCGTTCTCGAACTACTCTAGATTCCTGAGGCTGAGGGATTGATCTGGGTCGGGCACTGCGGAATGAACCGGGGCCCCGGACGAACACACCCCTCCCTTCGGGGTGTGTACTCCTTCGACGTTTGGAGGGGATGAATGCATGGCTTAGTTAAGCCCCAAAACAGCTAGAGGAAAAAGAGAGAAGGGAACGTTTGGATATTTGGAGTGTGATGAGTCATAGCAGGGAAGTGCCGATATAGGGTGCCACACGGATTATTACGGTTTTTTCCTTGGCTTTGGGCTTTGGATCCCGACGGCCATGCGTATATGAGGAGGTGCAGAGGAATACAGTGCGCCCTGCCACCACCGGAATGCCACACCAACATTAACAATCGTACCACTCTCGTCCCCATGCTGTCCACGACACGCATCCGCCTTTCCAGTGGTGACTGTACGGAACTATAGGAAGATTACGTCTGGATCACCGAGACGCACTTCCCTCCTGTGTCGATCCCTACTACCCATTCCCATATGCACATTACACCCTTACATACTTGCACATATACTTATGTGTACATACTTACACACATACACACACACTCGTACACGCACACACGTGTATTCCGCAGGAAATCAGTCGTGCCAGCGGTGCGGTGGGTCTGAGCTACGGCGCACACTCCAATCTGTGTGTCAACCAGATCGTTCGCAATGCCACACCTGCTCAAAAGGCCAAGTACCTGCCCAAACTCATAACTGGTGAGGAGTACAGACGTACATGCATACAGACAGACAGACAGCAGTGCACTGTGCCCACCCGCACTTTGCGCTGTGCTTCGTCGTCGGCACTCGCCTTTCCCGGCGCGCAGTGTGAACCTTCTACGTACGTCTACATACCTGCGTCCCCTTCCCCATGTGTCCCACTCGGCATCCCTCATTTCCCACCACCACTATCACCACCATCACCACCACTATCGCCACCACTATCGCCACCACTGCGTGCAGGTGAGCACATTGGCGCCCTGGCCATGAGCGAGCCCGGCAGCGGCAGTGATGTGGTGTCCATGCAGTGCCGCGCTGAGGCGAGCCAGGCGGCCGGGGGGGAGGCGTTCGTGCTCAACGGCAACAAGATGTGGTGTACGAATGGGCCCAAGGTAAGGGGGTGAGGCAGCCCCAGGCCGTGGGGATCGTGATGTAGGGGCTGGTGTCTGGGGTTGGGGTGGGGCAGGGCGGGGTGGGAGGGGGAAGGGGAAGGGGGAAGGGGCGAATTGCACAAGTCAAGGAAACAAGTACGCCGACGTCCAAACACGTGTACGGGGACGGGGGTTACACGCGGATAGAACTATGCGCACGACGAAAGGAAACTCAACCCTGGCGGGCGACGGGCGCTGTGGGAGTCGGGTGGGTTGGGGGAGATGGGGAAGAGAACGGGGGGGGGGTCCCAAGGACCCAATCCATTTCATTTCAGCCCGTTCCTTCCCCAGTCTACCTGGAGGTACTTTGGGTTCCTTGCTACAAGGCTTATAAGGGTAGACCAGACCTCTGGTCTGGTCTGGTTGACACTACTGTCTTACACAGTTCAAGGTCCTAGGTTCGATTCCTGGGGAGACCCCCGACATTGTCGGGAGCGTGAGATTATGGCTAGTTGCTGAGATGTGGAGTTGAGGTCACAGTTGATGGATCGAGATTTGCACGCCGGATTGGTGGCGATTGCGGAACCCTCTGTCTCTACGGATGTTCGGGTGAATGGATGAGGAGTGATCCTAGAAGGCAGGATCGCCGCCTTGGACTTGCAGTTCGTATGGCTGTAGTGCAGTGTGGTAATGGTGGGTGGTGTGCTGTATGGTGTGATAAATCGTAGAATTGACAATGTGTTCAAGTGGCCCAGAAGCCATCCACTCTGTAACAATTCGATTCAATTCAATTCATAAGGGGTAGGTAAACGCAATAGCCTGCAACAAGGTTCCTATTGTCCCTCGCGTCCCGGCTCTCCCCCCCTCACGGGCGCATTTTGGGTTTCTCCTGGAGGGCTACCCGTCTATCTCTGGTACCTGCTTCATTCGCCAGTGGTTCGTCTCTCCCTCCCACCCCACCCCACACCCACATCCACACCCACACACGGGTGCCTGCCTCCCCCGCCTCCTCGCAGGCCGATGTGTTGGTGGTGTATGCCAAGACGGACCCGGCAGCAGGCCCCCGGGGTATCACCGCCTTCCTGATTGAGAAGGGCATGCGGGGATTTCGTACGGCGCAGAAGCTGGATAAGCTGGGCATGCGGGGGTCTGATACGTGCGAGCTGGTGTTTGAGAACTGCGAGGTGGGGAGGGTGGGGTGTGAGGTGGGTGGGTTGGGAGGATTCGGAAAGGGACGGCAAGACCCAGCACGAACAGGGTGTACATATGTACATATGTACATGTACAGCCGTGCTTAAGTGTGTGTATGTATGTATGTATATGTACATAATAATGTGTGCGTGGCGCACAAATCGTGTGTGTGACTATTACAAGGTAAACTTAACAGTCGTATGCTACTGCTGTGGTTGCTGCTACTGCCTCTGGAAACTTTTTTGGGGGGTGTTGACGCGGACGGGGGGGGGAGGGAGGACGTCGGAGTGAGCAGAAATAGCGCCGTGAAAGGCGCTGCGGTGGCGATAAGGGCGCTACTACTGGCTGGAGGTAGGCGGCTAGAGTCGACTGATGCTTCAAGTACTACAGCTACTGCAGGCTATGCAAGAAGGACTTTGCGTTCCGATTAACCGATTTTAAATGATCGGAAAACGCGCAACAAGAGGGTACTACTGTTCATTGTTCCGCTACCCCACCCTAGGTCAGGAGAGTGCTGTCCTTCGGCTGCGGTTCCATGTTGGAGATCGGTGTGCTGTTGTTTGTTGTTGTTGATGGGGTGTTACACTGTGGGCGGCTCGCCCGAGAAAGGGCGAGCACCGGGGGCCCTGACCGGGCCGAAACACAGCGCAGGGACGGGCGCGCGGCTCTACGTCCGTCTGTTCCTCCGCGCGCGCCTCGTTCCCTCACTCACGCCAACCGGGACGCTCTCCTAGCCCCTTGTTGTTGTTGTTGTTGTTGTTTGTTGTTGCTGCTGCTGTGTAACTACCCGCATGGGGTATCGTCCCCCACCCGCACCCGCACCCATCTCAGGTCCCCGCCGAGAACGTGTTGGGCGGAGTGGGTCGCGGGGTGGCGGTGATGATGAGCGGACTGGACTACGAGAGGCTGGTGCTGGCGGCGGGGCCCTGCGGCCTCATGGCGGCGGCGCTGGACGTGGCGTTGCCGTACTCGACACAGCGGAAGCAGTTCGGTCAGCCCATTGGGGAGTTCCAGGTACAGCGGCGGGAGGGGGGAATTTGGCAGTGCGCTGTGTGTGTGGGGAGTAGACATTGATTGGGGCCGGAGTGGTCATGTGTGTGTGTGTGTGTGTGTGTGTGTGTGTGGTGGTGGTGGGGAGATGGGGCGGGGCGGGGCGGGGCCGCAGTTTGGGGGAAGTTCTAGCCCGGGTATTGGCGGGACGTGCCCCACGAGGGGTTAGAGGGTTTCCTTCTTTTGGGTTTTGGATTCATAATGGGGTAGAGCCTGGGGTTGCAAGGAAACGAATCCATCCACCTTGCCTCCTACCCACCCGGCCCCTCACCCCCATCTCACCCCCATCTCACCCCCATCTCACCCCCATCTCACCCCCACCTCCCGCCTCGGGGTCCTCGCTTACCCTGCACCCGGTTCAGCGCCTAGCTGGAACCCCCACCCCAGCTCCCCCCGGTAACTTGGTTGAGTGGCTCTACCTGGTAGTAGATACCCCCTTTTTCCCCGCAATACACCTTGACCTGGCGCGTAATCCACCCCCCCCCGATTCGTGCACGCAACTGTATATCTTCACTCGGGGTTCACAACACCCCTCGATATAGACACACTGTTATGACAGAATAATTCGGTTAATTCGGTTAATTCGATAAGTCTGGTGACTTGGGTTAGTCTGGCCTAAGATTCTTGTGCGATAGGATAATAACAATTTGACCTCGTGAGCTTTGTGATGTCTGTTTTTTTTGGACGTTCTTCGGCCCCCTCCGGGCCCTTGGGGACCCCTCGTCATGGCTCAAGGTGTGTATGGGCGCCCTCGTTATGACACCTCTGGATGGTGGTTACGCAACTCAAGAAGGTGTATAACGCACATACACACAACGCCCTTTATATAGACACGTATGTATGTATGTATGTATGTATGTATGTATGCATGTATGTATGTATGTATGTATGTATGCATGTATGCATGTATGTATGTATGCATACACACACTCACGAGAACACGCGCCTGCCATCCGCACCCCAACCCCCAGTTGATTCAGGCCAAGCTGGCTGACATGTACACACGGCTCCAGTCGGCACGGGCGTACGTGTACTCTGTGGCGGCGGGGGCGGATGCGGGTGTGGCAGACCGCAAGGACTGTGCCTCCGTCATTCTGTACGCGGCTGAAGCGGCCACGCAGTCAGCACTGGACGCCATCCAGGTAGGCGGGGTTGGGGTTGGGGGTTGAGGGGGGCCGGGGTGGGGGTGGGGTTGCGTAGGACTGAGGGCTTAAATGAAGTGGTATATACAGCCTCTGATCCAGACCTATGCAGAATATACACCTCCGCCACTGCTCTGCGGCAGTGTGTAGATAGATCTTGATGGTGAGAGCTCCCCCTCCAGCCGCCCAGCGCGCTGGAGGAACCCAGTGTCTCATCTCATCTCGGCATTCGTCACGGCGATTTATTTCACCGGGGGGGGGGCCCGGGGGACCAGCGGTGGGATCCGAACCACATCCTTGGTGGAGTTAGATACGGCCGCCGCCGGGATTCGAACTCTATTATAGACTTGCCGACTATCTAGCCCGGTGCTCCACCGTGTGTGTTTCATTAATCTGCGTGTGCGTGTGTCTGCATCTCCGCCAGGTGCTAGAAATGTCTGCTTTGGATGCCTTCGTGCTTGAAGAGAATCTGAGTCGCCAGAAGACGACGAAATGAGGATGATGGGGGTTTGGCGCGTGTGCATACTCACACACATACACATACGTCCGTTTTCTGGTTGCATTTGCACGGCAGATCTTGGGCGGCAACGGTTACATCAACGACTACCCGACTGGACGACTGCTCCGGGATGCCAAGGTGGGGGTGGTGGTGGTGCAGGGAGGCTGTCGAGTGAGCTTGGGGGGTTGTGGCGGTGGCGGTGGCGGTGGCGGTGCTGGCCAAGGAGAAGGAGAAGGAGAAGGACGGGGAATGGGGCGGCTCCGTGGGTGTTCTTTGAGCGCGGGTGGGCTCTTACTGCGTGCTCAGCCGCTCAGCTCAGATTCCGCGCTCTTGTCGCGCCCAGGAGGTGCCCTCCTGGAGCTCGTAGGAACAGGAATATACTTGTGTTCTGTCCTGACTTATACACGTCTGTGCACTTCTTGTATGTATACATATATACATATATACATATACGTATAGATGTGTGTCATATACACATATACATATCTATGTGTCGTTTGTTATGTTGTACATGTCAGCAATAGGTTTGTGGGGGCAGGCCAGCACTGAAGGCCACTCAGCCACTAACCCAGGATGGCAGGGAGGAGAATAAGAACCCCGGCTGCTGCACCCAGGAACTCCTTTATCGAGTGGTACGACATGTACATTTAAACTTGCATATGTATGCCGCATATGCGTCATTTATTACCTGCAATCTGTTCGTAGCTGTACGAGATCGGCGCCGGAACCAGCGAGATCCGCCGCTACCTCATCGGCAGGGAGCTTTTCAAGGAATGTACGGAAGGCAGGTTGCAGTACAATTGAGTCAGGTACGGAAGGACCCACCGCAAGAGCTTTCCCCCCCTCAACCCCGGGTGGGCGACATAGGTAATAGCGGGTCTTAAACCTGGGGCTGGGGCCAGGAAATCGCGGGCCTGTGGCCTCGGGGCTAGTACTGCTGCCGCTGCTGGGTCGATTTTCTGGTGACAGTTGGTCAAGTCGTTGGGCAGTTGCGGCGGGTACATTGGACGTTTTGCAGTTGCGCCTGTGCGGTCCCCTGTGTCGATTGAGGGAGCGTTGTCCTGGAGGGAAGGAGCTTTCGTTTGCAGTGGGAGGCGAGGCCAGGCTAGGTCAGGCTAGGAAAGATGAAACCCACGGAAGGAGTTAAACCCAAAGCCCAGAGCTGCCGTACACTGGAATAAAGTAGGGGGGAGCAGTCCACCGTGTTAATGACGTTAATATTCGCACGGTATTCGTGCGACATACATTAACTTTGGGCATGCGCTGGGCGATGTGCGTCCTGCTGAAGGTCTTTAGCGCGCCTGTACGGCATAGTTGTACGGAATGTTGTGTTCCGGCACTTTTTTTTAGGGGCGGCGGCTCGAGGGGAAAACCAAAGGAAATGCTTTAACATGTTTGTATTGGTTTACATCACCATGTATCGTGCTCCGAGGTGCAACCGATATGTGTATGTACGTATGTGTGTATACATGCATGTATGTATTATGTCTGTTATCATGTCTGTCTGTCGTATCATGTATGTATGTGTGTATATGTCTGTGGTGGGGCGGAGAGAGCGGGAGATATAGGAATGACAGAACGAGTGGAAAGGAAGTTCTGCAAAGTGGCCTTCAGGAAGTGGGGAGAGGACGCCTGGTGCGTCGTCTGCAGACACCGTCTGCAGACACAGTATGCCCCACGTCTTCGGCTGGTAGTGGCTGTCGTATTGTAGTTTCGCCGGTTAGCCGGGGGTCGCTTGTACCATACAATATTGTACAGTAAAGATCGTAAAGCACGGCTTAACTGGCTGTATGTACTCCATATGCCGTGGTTGCACATACGCGGCTATGTGCCTCAGCCCACGTGCAAGATGCTCCCTATGTACACCTACCTCCCACCTACTTCTATTGACCACAAGAAGTTGCCTACCACCACTATCCGGAGGGTCACACGCCGGGTGTGTCGCTTTCAAAAAAGATTGCGGGCCATGGCCGAGAGGCATCGGTGTTGTGTGTACCGGCTTTGCTGCTGCTCGGTATACACCTTCGGTATACACGAACTTCATCGCCTTGGCGTGTTCTGCAGCATGGTATCCATTTTTTCTGGCGTTTCTCATCTCCTTTCTCCTCTCTCGACGCTGGATCCGAACCATTTTTATGAGCTGATGAACTCTCAAATAGCTGGATTTAGTTAGCGGCTGGTGTAGATCTCCAAACCCACATACTTTTATGTTTTAGCCATAGCTAAGCCAGAGCTGGATGCGGCAAGGTAAGCTCGGCAGTGCGTCTTTCGTCGCGGAGTTGCGACACAGCTACTCTCTGAGCGGCACAGACGAGTCACTGGTCGTTACGACTCATTTGCCACCTGGAATGTCATCGCCGCCGAGCCCACGGCAGGTCACGCGTCGCTTCTGCTGCACCTTGACCCGCCTGCCCGATGAGTTCCCGTATATTTCGTCGCAATCACAGCAAAGGGCCCCAAAATGTACGTTCCATTTTGGAGCTGGATAGCCTTGGCTCCCATGGGTTGGGTTGCCCACCTAAAAGGAGAGCAAGAACCTGGATGTTGGATGAAATGGACGAGCATGCTCGGACTGAGACACAATTACTCGCAATCCGGAATGGACGTCGTAAAACGAGGCGCTGCGTTCGGGGCCTTGGCGCGATGTTATTGAATAATAGAGAATATATGGTAAAATGCGAAGCGCAGAAGTCCGAAAGTTGTGCAGTGTAAAAAAGTGGCCGAGCATAAGGCGGATACATGACGCAAATCGATCAGACATATGGGGATGTGACACCCGGAAAAATGGCAAAGCGAAGCGTCAAGAAAAAGGGGAAAATAATAGAAAAAGAACTAGTAATGATGAACGTTATGTTCGAGAACTGCAGGAAGAGATGTGTACGGAGTTGCGCATTAAAACCAGGCTGTGCATTCGCAAGATTAATGAGCAAAGGGAGAGGAGGGAAAGGAGGGCGAGAAGAAAGCGGAGGGAGAGGAAAGGGAAGAGGGACATGGGGATGAAGAGCACGTTAATGTTGCTTGCATTGCCGTGTTTGTCTTTTCCGACAGGATCTTCTAAGGATCTTCCCAACGCATCCCAGAAAACATGACAACGTGAAGCAGCAAGCATAGAACATCGGTCAAAACGTCGTAACAAACATAGAACCTTGCTGCAGCACCCTCAAGCGCACCCACTACAGACTAAGTCAATTCCTCTCTTGGGCCAGCCGAAAAACGCGTAGCGTGTGGTTTGACTGGATACCTGTAAACCTGAAGTGTGGGAGCCACCATGCACCTAAAACCCAAGCACAACCGGGTCATAACTCTAAAGCCCCAAACGAGCTTTATATCAACATGTAGATCTTTTCATTATGGACACGTGTAATTTTGTTCCATCCGTTTTGAGGTTTTGCGATCACGATCTCGGCGAGCTGTGCAGCACAGCCTACCAGGCAGGCCATCATCGCGCACGTGCGCCAGTGCCTGGCGTCTGAGCTACGGGTCAAGAGGGGGGCATCAGTGGATGCCTTCGTGCTTGCCGCCTTGGCCCTGCTGGGCGGCGGAAGTCCCGCACCAGACGAACGGTGTCGACCGCGGCCTGTTCGTGCTCTTCTACATGGACCATTTCATGGCGGCCAGGCCGCTAGGCATTTGTGTCGAATGGCCAAGGTGGGCACAGACACCACTCCCCTGTAGTTCCTAATTTATGAAACTTTAAAGTGCACTAAACCTCTCAACGCGTGTGTGTGTGGTGTGTGTGTATGTGTGTGTGTGTGGGGTGTGTGTGTATGTGTGTGTGTATGTGTGTGTGTATGTGTGTGTGGTCACACGCATAGCCGTCCTGGCTCGGCTGTAACAACTATGTCCTGTCAACTACCATCCTGACATTACCGGTATGCCAAAGCCCGGGATGTCGAGCAGGCTTCCTTTTGTTTCTAAGAAGGGAATGCATAACTTCGCCAACTGAGAGCAACGGAATGAAAGAAATAGCTCTTAAGAAGCAGGCGTATGAAGCAGCAAAGGGTAACAAAAGCAACATTGGACTCCGACGTCATGCTTCACGGCATATATCCACACCTGGCGGAGGCCAGGCCCATCTTAAGCATTCCGTGTTTCGCCTTTGCTGTGTGTTACAATGGCATCGAGACGGTGCCGTACGTCTCTCATTGCAAGCTCGGCAGATTAGTAGTTCGGCAGCAGGTATCGCTGAACGCATACTTTTGTATAATGGATAAACCAGCATAAAGTCGTGCGTTGGAAAAGCCCCCGGTGGAGCCTGAAAACTACCACGCAATAGGAACGTTGCAGTTTTGGGTACCGGCTACACACAGGTTCCGCCCGGTGCCTGCTTGTGTGATTTGGGCCATGAGGATGTGCTTTAAAACTGATTGACCAGGGTCATAACCGTTCAGGTTCTCATACAATCTTTGACAGCTTCCCCTTCGTTTGAATACAGGGTGTTCCTGCAAGTGCCATTTGCATGGCATGATGCTGCACTCCTTGGGAGCATGAAATGCTGCCTTGACCAACTTGAAGCCCGTACTGCGAGCCGTTTATGCGCCATAGACTGAGCTCTCCTGTCTCCTCCCCGGTATCTATCTACCTTGACCCCGACACCCTCGCCCCTGTGACATTTCTTTCGCAGGCTGTTGCTGCAGGAGGGACAGAACGAGCAGGCAGTCCATTTGCGCCATTCTGCTCCGCTTCTGATGGCGAAGTGGGGTGACCATGAAAGTCGGACGATGGGGCCATCATTCGCAACAAACAACGGGTTCACGATCATCCAACCAACGGTTATTCCCTGAATTGATGACCGCCGATTTACCACATGCTCATTGACGAGAAGTGGATTTCTACATCCATTTTCCACCACCCGGATTCTGAATGCAATACGGCTCACGTACTGTGGCGCAAATCCAGGGCTAACCATACGGAATCGGTTCAGGGTTCCATGTTTTTTTCCATGAATGCGTCGTTCCAGCCAGGCAACCAGCGTTTATCGTGTCAAGTACGGAAGGCTGTGGCGGACAGGGAGGTAACCTGCATCGACATGCGGACAGGGTAGAGAGAGGTAAATGACATCTGCGCAGTTCTGTTTATATGCTTCAATAAGACCTGTAATCTTCCCATGTACTCCAGAATAACAGCTACCTACGTATTCCACACATGGAATACATAGTGGGGCTTATCCATTGGGGGCTTATCCATTGCGTGCAGCTCTCAGCAATCAGTGTACTCCGCCTCATGGCCTGGGTCACAGTGGTTGAATCTTGTATGAACCTATGGAGCTGTCAGGCTGTTTCCATTTGGGGGCACATTATTTTAATGTGGACTTCGTGTATGCTTAGTTAACAGGTGTTTCCGCTAAGCGCCCCGGAACCATATGTGTCTGTGTGTGTGTCTGTGTGTGTGTGTCTGTGTGTGTGTGTCTGTGTGTGTGTCTGTGTGTGTGTGTCTGTGTGTGTGTGTCTGTGTGTGTGTGTGTCTGTGTGTGTGTCTGTGTGTGTATGTCTGTGTCTGTGTGTGTGTGTGTGTCTGTGTCTGTGTGTGTGTTTTACATGGTCGTGGGTTGCGTTCCCCGTACCTGCAAACCGGCCAATACGATCCCAGGGCTCAAGGGCTGCCAGACCGCCTACAAGCACCATCCTACCTCGCGCTTCAGACAAAGTGACAGGCCACGTGAAAGGCTGTCTTTGCCAGGAGACATTTGAACTGGTGGACGCCCAAAGCGTTGCCTATTAGCAGTAAAAGCCTGCTGGACTGTGCTGGAGGTTGGATTCATGTGGCTTATGGGCGAAGAAATGACAGTCAGGATCGGAAGTCAG